TTTTGCAGTTCTGTTTCGTTCTTTTTTCTGAGGTTTTCCATATCCTGGCAGTTTTCTTCTTTATTGTTGTCTATTTTTGTCCTGAGTTCATTTATCCATTTATTCATTGTGTTCTCTCTTTCACTTTGGTGTTTATACAGTGCTTCTATGGTTTCCTTTATTTCTTCTTTTGCTTTTTCAAATTCTCTATTTTTATTGTCTTGGAATTTCTTGAGTGTCTCCTGTACATTTTGGTTGACCCTATCCAGTATCATCTCTATAAAATTCTCATTGAGTACTTGTAGTATGTCTTCTTTTAAATTATTCTTGTGGGCTTCATTGGGTCCTTTGGCATAGTTTATCTTCATTTTGTTGGAGTCTGGATCTGAGTTTCTGTTCTCTTCATTCCCCTCTGGTTCCTGTACTAATTTTTTGCTGTGGGGAAACTGGTTTCCCTGTTTTTTCTGTCTTCCGTCATTGTCCTTGGTGTTGTTACTGTCCCTGTACTGTGTGTAATTAAGTATTTTCTAGCTTGTAATAATAACAATGGTAATATTGAATGGAAGAGTGAGCTGAGATGGAAAGCAAGAAGTTAAAGAAAAGGGGAAAACAAATACAGACAAGAGGGAGAAAGCAGAACAAGGTATCAGACAAGAGAGTTTCAAAGGTATAAACAGGGAGTGTTAGTGTACTAATCGACAGTAAGCTGAACAGACATTAGAGAGACAGAGAGAGGATTGAAAATCAAAGATAAAAAAATAAAAATAAGTAATGAAAGTAATATCTATATATAAAATGAATTAAAATAAAATGGAAAATAGAAAATTAAAAAAAAAAAAAAAACCAAAAAACTTCCAAGTTTATATGCAATGCAGTTTCAGTCTTAATAATTTGGATGTCCGTCTCAATCTCCAGTCCTGGAGTTGGTGCCTCAGATGTTCTGTAGTTGTCTCATCAAAGGGGATGCATAAAGTAGAACAAAACTACACTCACACACACAGAAAGAAAAAAAAAAAAAAAAGCCCCACCAAGTGTCCCCAGTTCAAATGCAATACAGTTTCAGTAAGTTTTTCGGCTTGCAGGTGTAATTCGGTTGTTCTCTCATCAAAGGTAGGGAGAAAAAGAAAAAAAAGCGTCTGGAGGCAGTTCTGAGAGTGGTATCTGCAACTGTGGCTTGCCTGCCTGCTGCTCTCAGCCTGTAGCTGGCGGCGTTATTTATGCAGATCTCTGGGGTGAGCTAGCACTCACCTGGTCCCACAGGCTTTGTTTGCTCAGAGTTCTCCTGTGCGGGAGCCTCTGCTACAGGCTTTCCCCTTTCCAAGCACTGGGAAAGGTGACACTGCCCCGCTTGTCAGGCCTGCGTGTTTATTTACAGTTCACGTGGGAAGTGGGTCTTCCCTCCTCTCCTGAGTCCTCTCTCACAAGCTTCCCGCTCCTGGTTGCTGGGCGCCCCGCTCCCTCCAGAGCCTCTCCGGCGCCCGGCTCGTTTATTTACAGTCCCGGGAAGGATTCCCTTCCCCCAATCTTCAGCGCTCAGGGCGCCCCACCCTCTTTCCAGCGTGTCTTAACTGTTCTTATTGCTTAGTACTCAGTTTCTCTTTTTTTCCCGGGTGGAGGTCAGTCTGTCCAGGGGGCTATGCTGCTCTGGCCCAGGCTTGTCTGTGGGGGAACCGCGGTACCGCGAAGCTCACCTGGTCCGCGTCTTCCCAAGCCGTATGGGCGCCGGCCACTGGCGGCCCCGGGGGCCTCCTCGGTTCTCCGTTTAACGTGAAGTGCAGATTCTCTGCACCGGCCGGAGGTGTGGAGAGGTCAAAGTTATGCCTTTTCTCCGTGATTATGCCTGCAAAGTGTGTCTCCAGCGTCTCTCCAAGATTTCACTATAGGAGGCTCGCTTTCTGCTTCCTACCTCTAGCCACCATCTTGGAATTCCTCCTTAATATCTTTAAATAGTAAGTCATTCCATCTAGGAGCATGGGGTCTCTTTTAAGATCATCTTTTATGACTTAGAGTTTTACAGTTTTAGAACATTCTCTTACAGGGTTCTTATTTACTCTTCGTAACAAGGGTCCTCAATCTGTATGATACTCGTTGCTGTAGTCTGGCTGCAGCTAATCTACTTTCTCCTAGGTACTTCACGCAGAAACTCCAGCAAAGTCTCATACTTCTTGAGGGAGAAATTATACTTAAGCCATTGCCTTGCTATTTGGAGAACTTCCAAGTAAAATTCATAGAGAACATGGGCCTATTTGACATCATGGGATAAATGTTTAATTTCAAGAAGTAGAATGGCTTTTAACACGGAAAAAAAAATTGGAGAAGCCACATCGTCTAGATTGAAGGTTTAAAAATGCAACAAAGATCAATGATGGAATGTTTTATTTAACCTGGATGAGGACAACACAAAGAGTGTAACCTAAGAAGTGAGCACCAAGTGTAACTGTACATTTTGCCTGGAAGAAATTATGTCATCCTTAAGGGAAGGCAGAAGAAAGCTTGAAAATGACCCCCTCACTTACACTGTCCTGCTCTGATATTACTCACCCATTCCTCTCGCCATGCTAGGCAAGCCCCAGGACTGTCTGTGTTGGACTCAGGCAAAGGCACAGGTACCTCCCAGTCATCTTGTGGATTGATGTCATCTCCCCATTAGCTGGCCCCACCCGCAGTAGCAGCCATGAACTTAAAATGGCAAGACAAGATTGTGGCACTTGAATGGTTCTCGTTTAGAGATAGGAACTGGAAATTGACATCCCTAGCAAACAAAGGCGGAGGACTGGTGGGAACTTCAGGTGGGTACAGAAGTGTAGAGATAAGAGGCAGGACTCCTGTGATCAGGTGGGTCACGGTCTAGCGGGTGTTCATGTAGTCCTCGGCAGTGTGGGCAAAGCATGAGTACATTGTGGTCACATGTGCTCGAGCTCACGAAGGAAGTGACATTTTGAACAGGAGGTGAAGTGGGAAAGCATGAGTGCCCAGGTGACAAATTTTGATAGTACGGTATGCACACCAAAATGTTACCATCGGCTTTGAAGCAGTCTGTGTTAGAACTGGAGTTCTGGAAGCACAGTGAAGTTCAAACTGTGTGTGGGAGGCCAGCTGGCAGCACCTGAGGCTAAGCAGGAGCACTTAGCACGGCAACGTGCAACATGTTCCCATACCACCCCAAAAAGGTTGGTAGCCTGCTGTATCCACCCTGCCTTCCTGGAATACTTGACCTTGAGAAGGAAACCCCGGCCTCCAGCTACGTCCTGCTCCGAGAGCTGGTCCTGCACCTGCAGATGGGGTGCGCAGCATTGAACTCTATGCTGGCCGAGCCCAGCAGCCAGTGTTAGCAATCCTCCGAGCCCCATGGGGTCCATTCACATCTCTCAGGCCTCCCGCCACTTTCCACCTCTCGCCTGTGTTTTAGAACATTCTTTAGCTTCTAGGTGCAAGAAATTCTTGAACAAAAAGAAACACACTGTTTACTATGTTTCTAATCCTACCAAACTTTGAAGAGAAACACCTTACTCCTCACCACGGGACAGCAATGTGAAGCTGATGTTCGGCCTCCTCGGTGGGAATCACTTCCTCACAGGCATCTGTCTGCAGCACAGAGCTTCTGTAGCCCGCCATATTCCACCACTCAGTTCACGCTCCAGTTCCCGTATGTTCTGACCTAACATGGCCTCGCACGGAACATTTTTTGCAAAGTAAGGCGAATGTTTCCAGATACATACTTGAAGACAATGTGGCCCAGATGATTCATCACTAGGATGGTAATGTGATGGCGATGGTGACAATGACAGCAGTCATGTTGATGGTTCTGAGAGACCCACGTACAGAGAATGCTGCCAGGCAGTGGGCCAAGCATGCACGTTCACAGACTCACTGTGTGAGGTGATTAGAATCCCATGCTTACTGGGAGGATAAGTAAAAGCCCAGAGAATGTAACCACCTTGCTCAAGAACACACAGCTAGTGAAGGGTGAGGTCAGGCTTAACCCCTGTCCATCTCGCTCCAGAGTGGATGGTCTTACTATGCTGTGCTCCCAGTTTTTGATATTTTAAATATCTAATGCTTTGGTATTTGGGTAGAGTAAAATGTTCGAAACTTTCAACTTTAAAAATATGAGTCTGTTGAAAGGTAAAGATTGGGAGGATTGTGGTTTGAGGCCAATCTGGGCAAAAAGTTAATGAGGCCCCATCTCAACAAATAAGCTAGGCATGGCAGTGCGCACCTGTGATCAGCCACACTGGGGGGCATAGGTAGGAGGATCACATTCCAAGGCCATCCCTGAGCAAAACTGTAAAACCTTATCTGAAAAATAACTACAGCAAAAAGGCCTGGGGCGAGGCTCAGACTTCCAAAAAGTCTGACAGCCATAAGAATCTCTTTTGACTGCTGTCTCCCCTGACTGCTGTGCCCTGGATGCAACAGTCACTGTGCTTGGCTCTACAGTCCACCTTCGAGGGGCAGCAGGGCTCCAGAGCTGTTGGAAAGATGTGCATGTGGGTGCTTCTTTGGCACCTATGTCACTCTTAGAACAGAGAAGCAGAAGAATTTTGGAGCCATTTTCCAGCACCGAGGATGGTGTCGTAACCTTTGACCCTGGCACTAGTGTCAGACAAAATAAGTGCTGCTGCATTGGAATGCAGGTTGAAGACTGGACTGGGGGACGGTGCAGGCTGACCTCAGCGCTCCTGACACTGTCACCATCATTCAGAGCTCACCACTAAGATGCAGGTTCTGCAAACCCATCAAGCAGATGCAAGATGGTGCTAGGGGCTCTGTTTTCAGGATAACTATGTTTGAATATGTGTTTTTCTGATTTTCACCAAAACAGAGTTAAAGTGGGGAAGTAAGAATGTGACTCCTGCTTTCTTGAAACATAAAAGTACTCAAAAGCCGGGGTAAAGATGCTAATATACCAGTTCCAGACAGCTGGCAGGGCAGTGAGCGTTTGCCACAGATCCTTACAGATCCTCGCAGTCTCCCCCTGTATGTTCAAATTATTATCTCTTTTTTTCTCATTTGAACAGAGCAGCATGGTCCGCCATCAGGAACAAACTCAGCCAGGCAAAGCCCAGCACTGCAGCACAGACCCATGGGACAGTCACAGGCCAACCACATCCCTGGGGACAGGTGGGCTGTTCTGCTTTCCTTCTCTCCTCATCTCTCTGTAGTCTCCAGCCCTTCCATACGGTTGTGTGGAAGTCAGAATGAGAACTCAAACTTGCCACCCTCCTAGTCCTGCCCTGGGCCCTCCCTGCCGAGGACTTTCTCCATCCCAGGCACAGCTAACCACCCAGTGGCACCTGACAAGCGAGGTTGGAGCTAAGTGACCATAGCACCTGGCTCAGCTGCTCTGGGTCCTCCTAGTGTGGGTAGGGATTGGCAATACTGGGGTTTGATACTCAGGGCCTCATACTTGCTAGGCAGGCGCCCTGCCACTTGAGTCACTCTGCCAGCCCATGCTTTCCTCTTTCATTGAAAATATTAGTTATAAAACAAAAACTAGATTTCCAGAAACTGCACATCTTCCAGCCTGTGGGGCTGCAGAAGAATCATTTCTCACTGTGCTGAGGTCAGCTCATTTGCCCTCTGGTCTTGTATCTGAGTGCAGTTTTCCCTAAGGGAGACTGAGAGAGGACTGGTGGCATGGTTCACAAGGTTATGAGGTCAACCCCCAGTATCACAAAAGGCATTGGGCTGCGAGGGGAGGGGTTTACTGAAAATGTCGACAGACATTTGCTGTGCTAGAGGTAGTGACCAGATTCTTCCTGGCAGGTCACGAGTTCTAGGGGCAGTCTGTGTTTATAGCAGTTTGTCAGCAGGAGAATGGCAAGGGTCAGCCTTAAGAGAAAAGAAACGAATTTGCTTCTTCTTTCAGACTATTTTTCATTTGCTCAGTTCATGGAGCAACTTGATTTGTCTCTTACAGAATTGGCCTAGAAAGTGAAACTGGAAAAGACATCCCCACTTCTTACAGACATTCCTGGTCCGACCACAAGCACCTGGCGCAGCCTGACACCGCGGTGATTTCCGTGGTGGGTGGTCGGCACAGTCAGGTAAGCCTCCACACAGATGCTCTACCACTAACATTGGTGAATTTTTGTTGCAAATGTTTACATAAATTTGCTTCCAAAATTAATAACTCTGTAGACCTGGCATTTTGTTAGCCTCCATAAGAAGATAAAAAGAATTAAAGATAAGTTTACCTTGTAATGGGAGAGATTAAATACCCAGAAGTACATAGTATCATAGCTATGGTAGATCTTTTGTTTGCTTGCTTGTTTTTCAGGAAAATTAGTAAGTCTACTCAAAGGAAGCACTTTCTAAATTCTCTTCTCTGATTGTTCTCTTGCACATTAACCAACTAGAAGAGAAGACATACAGTCTCCAGATGAATTTAGGCTGTGCTTATAAAATTAAGTAGTGCTCCACCCACAACGTGCCTTCCTTCTTGATGTGGCGATGCATATCAGAGTGTAAACCATTTCTCCCAGCTGTAAAGGCAGTCTTTCTTCAAGACATAAATAAAGCAGTGCACAGGAACTTGATTCTTATACTTCTTTCTCTCCAGAGCCTCGGCTGTTACCCAGTAGAGCTGGAGAGAGGCCCCCGGGGCTTTGGGTTCAGCCTCCGAGGGGGCAAGGAGTACAACATGGGGCTGTTCATCCTTCGTCTTGCTGAGGACGGCCCTGCCATCAAAGACGGCAGAATTCATGTGAGTTGGCCTCTGTCTGCAGCCTTTGCTTCTGGCTCTAGACTGGAAACTTCTAAACCTAATTGATTTAAAGGGGATGCAGAAGCCTCTTGAATCTAGAAGCAGGATTTTCTGTCACTAAAGCCTAAAGGCCACAAGCCTGTTGCTGTGGTTTTCTGGTTCTCTTCAGTTGCAGTACCACCACAGCACAGTTAAGCTGCTTTGACCTTCTTGACTTTGCATGTAAGAAAACTCATTTTTTACTTGTATAGTCAGCTTTTAGGGCAAATGGATTAATCAAATGTACTTCTATCTTATTAAAAGTCTTGAGAAAGTCAGAATAAAACAGAATCTTCAATTTCTTTCAAGAAACTCTAAGCCCAGGGGGGTTTTTTCCTGCCATATATGCCTACAGAGGTTATGGAGGTGGAAAATCCTGACTTGCCCAGAATTTGTCGTTGGAGGGACTAGAGCTCACATCAGTGACATTCCATCATATCTGTCATCTCTGAAACAGCAGAGCCATACCTCAGTCTAAACTGCTTGTAGAGCTGCATTTTCCTCCTTGTCTGAATGTTAAAGTGGTTCTTGTACAGAAGCCAACTGCCACCCTCAATATCTATAAAATAGCTGACTCATTGGTGATCAGGCAAGTTATGCACTAAAGACTATTAAGTTCTAGATCACCTTCCCCTCACAACCCGGGAGCACTTCAGATTTCCTCCCTCTACCACCAGGAGATATCAGGGAAATGGAACTTCTTTCTTTTCTTTTACTCAGACTTTTAAGTAAATAAACCAAGTAGGAAGGCAAATGAATGTTGGGTCTCCTAAAGATTAGAAGAAGCTTCTTGGAGATCCCAGTTCTGTCATTTCCACATCACTGCTTCACCGCCATCACTCATGTTATAAACAGGTTTGAGCGTTCACACTGACCAGGCTTTATACCGGGTGCTCTGAGTTGGGGAAAGAGGCAACCCAGCACAAATAAGATACCACCCTTCCTCAAACGATAAGCTAGGTGCACATGTCCAGAAAGGTGATCAGAAAAGATGTCACAAAATGGGTGACATTGGAAGCTGAGTAGGATTTCCATAGAGACTGAGCAGAGAAAGAACTCAGGCTGCAGAAATGAGCAGTGGGGCAAGTATGGGCCCTTCATGTGGCCAAGTTTGCCTAGAGTTTACTTAGAAAGTGTCTGGGAAGGAGAAGGAAATGACAACATGAAAGGAGGGTGGCCCCAGCATGGAGGTGCTAGCAATGGATGTCACTAGAGATTCCTTCAGAGCAGCACTAGGAGCAGTGGAAGGGGTTCAAGAGGCTAGTGTGCACGCCTGTGGTGACAGTGGTGGCAGCATGACCTGAGTGAGCCCTTTGGATGGAAGATGAGAGCTGTGGATGAGATCACCAGTCAGTGAAGGACCAACATAGATGACTGGTGTTTGCTCAGTGGGGACAGCTGAAGGGGAAGGAGGAGCAGAGGGTGGTTTGGACCCTGCCTTGCCTTACTAGGGAGAGCCACAGGGAGGCCGAGGCGGGAGGATTGCGGCAGACAGGTGGTACGATGAGTTTTGGACTTGTTGAGGTGCAGGAACCGCTAAGCAGGTGTCAGTGTTTGCAGTGTTTGGCAGACCTAGCAGTGACACAACCAAGACAGAGGTGATGAGTGAAGCTCTTGTGGAAGATGAGGTCTCTCATGTAGATTTAGAGGGCAGCAGGCAGGGGCAGAACGAAGGCCTGTATTTAGCGAGCCAGAAAACTTCATGAAAACACGAAGCGGGAGCGTGCAGAGCCCAGGACCAGGGCCAGAGCATTTGTGACCGGGAGCAGGACTGATGGCCAGATGCCATTGGAGCAGCAAGCCAAGAGCCGCCGATCTGGTCTCAGTTCTCTTCCTCACACAGTTCACTACATTGCAGAGAATGTGGGTTCAGAAGTCAGAAAGGACAGAGTGAACCCCCATTCCACCATCCTGAAGCTTGTGCAGCCTGCAGCAGCCTCTCTGACTAATGTGTGGAGGATGGCACTTGCTCCTGTTTGCCCCCACCCTACCAGGGCACTTTAGATCTGTTTTTCTTTTAATCTCCCATTGTATATAGTGTCACAAAAATTCAATTAAATGAGAAATTCAGATATAAGTAATTTTTAAACAGTGGTTCCAAATATAACCCTCAGATCCACTAATTTCACCATACAAATAAAAGGTAAACAGGCCTTAAAGCAGATGATGTCTGGTTCTAAAACATGTCATTCTCTACAGATCAGCAGAAACTCTACAATCCTGTGACTAAATCACCTTTTATTTCAAAAACAAACTACTTGAGAACAAAAAGTAATAGGCTGTTAACGGTTGGGCCCAGGTCTGCTCTGGATTGGAAGCACATCTATGAGCTTTCAGTTTTCTGACTGCTAACCTATCAGTCCTGACCTGGTGAGGACAATGAAAGCTCTGCAGGTAACGCTCACTGCACACATGGGAAGAGCGCTGGTCCCCAGGAGGTCCCTACTGCCTTCTCCAACGCCCTCTCCACTGTACTTTCTCACAGATGGCTGCTGAACTTTGTGTCCTGTGCCTATTATTCCAGTGTCTCAGCAGACAGCCTTACTATTCAGTGTGTGCTCCACAGATGCTTGTCAGGAGTAAAATGGGTAGAATTATGCAAGATACTGAGGGAATTTTTTTAAATATGTTAGTTTCCAGCACTTATTACCAAGCAGACAGGACTAGGGCTGTATGAAGTAAGTAGCAGCTGTGTACTCGTAAAACTGAGGAAACAAGAAAATGTGAACTTGTCAGGAGGGATCCTTAGGTTGAGCCATAAGCTGGTCCACAAGGCTGGCGAAGGGCTCAGTGAAGGGAATGCGCCTAAGATTTAGAGACGTGTTGAGAATTGGATCAGATCTAGAACATACTGAGAGTCTGCTGCCTTCCAGGCAACATGTATTTTCATTGCATTGCCCAAGTGTCTGTGTCTGTGGGGAAGGAGGCTATGCCCATCTACAGATTAAAATTGAGGCCCGGGGAGGCCATGTCTCTGCTAAGGTCACATGGCCTATCAGACCAGGCTTGTGTCCCTGGGATTTGCTTTCACTGAGAGGCATGTAGTTTCTTAACAGGTTGTAAAACAATGCAGGCCGTGTGTTAGAGATGTTATAATTGTAATATATATTTAGTGGATGTTTTTAAACCTATAAGACTGCCTAAAAAGATAGTGACTTTTTTTTTTTAAGGAATATTCCTTTTCTCTATCCTTTCTTCCTACTTCTTGTTTTTTATTTTGGGATAAGCTCTTGATACATTGGCCAGGCTGGCCTCCAGCTGAGCTGTGCCATCTTTCTATCTCAGCCTCCCAAAGAGCTGGGATAACAACAGGTGTAAGTAACAAGATTTCAGCAGAATGTTGGCACTTCCTTCTCAGAGGTAGCTTTTGTATCTTCAGTTTTGTGTAGCTCCATACAGAACCCCATGTAAAACCCTGAGGGCCTGTCTGCCATGTATCTTAAAGCAGTCCTCTCCCCTTACCCCAATTTGGTTCTAAAGTTAAACAAAAATGACACCTGGTGGCAAGTCTGTTCAATTACACGTTTTATTTGCATTTTATTTCTTGTACTAAAATTTTTAAATGTACAGGTTTGTAAAGACAAGGAATGTGATTAAAATGAGCTCTACCTCAGTGTTTCACAGATACACCCAAAGCATGCTTCAAACACTAGCTTTTGCTTTTTTTTTTTTTTTGCATCACTGGGATTTAAATTCAGAGCCTGTGCTTGCTAGGCGGGCGCTCTACCACCTGAGGCAGCCCCGCCCTTTCTGCTTTTATTCAGTAGGGTCTCACGGTTTTTGCCCAGCCAGCTTGGACTGTGATCCTCCTACCTTTACCTCCCATGTAGCTAGGATTACAGGTGAAAGCCACCATGCCCTGTCCCCTGATTTTCATTTCTTTAATTATCAGCAGGATTCTAGATCTGCTAATTTATCATCTTCACTTCCTTATGAAGATGGTTGTTCCACACTTGTCAAGGGAAATCTAGATTTTGGCTTTGGTTTCACTTATATATACTGAGGGGATAGAAAGGGTGGTGTTATCTTTACTTATTCTTTTCTGTTATCATCTTTATTGTCTGTGGTTGTTTTTTGTTCTTTTCATTTTATATACCAGTTTTAGTCTGTTCCCTGTTACCATAACTAAATAATTCAGACAGGGATACTTGTTTATTTATTGAGTTGAACTCAGGATCTCCCACTTGCTAGGCAGGTGCTCTACCTCTGAACCACACCTTCAGTTGGACTGGGAAATTTATTTCTTAATGTTTGGAGGCTAGGAAGTCCAAAGTTGAGGGGATGTATCTGGTGAGGGCCTTCTTGCTGGTCGGCAGTGGGGGTCTCTGCTGAGTCCTGAGGCAGCGCTCAGGCCAGGAAGAGTTCACTTTTATAACAAAGCCACTCCCTCAATAACCCAATCACCCTGGGAGGACTGCAGTTTAGGACAGCCAATATAAACAGTTATTGAGTGACTCCCCATCTTAATAAGCTGGGTGTGGCAGCACACGGGTTGATCCCAGCTACTTGTGAGGCCACATGTAGGTGGCTGCAGCCTAAGACCAGCTCCAGGCAAGGGCAATGCAAGAACCTATCTGGAAAACAGCTAAAGCAAAAGGGCTAGAGGGTGACTCAAATGGTAGGTAAAGCGCAGTGCCACAAAAAAAAAAAAAAAAAAAAAAAAACCACATGACTTTGAAAAGTAAGTTTCTAATACCTGAAATTCAGGGGCAGGGGAGGGCATTGAAACCATAGTGGTGTTAAACCCATTGGTCTTGTTTCCAGCACCCACTAGCTCTGTTCCTTCAAGAGTGAGGCATCTCTTTTTAAAATTTTCACAAATATGCAACAGGAAAAGTCTTCCCTTTCATGATTTATTTGAAAGGTTTTGTATGCAATGGGGTATAACTTGAAAAATAGCATTATCTGTGGGTGGTGTGCAGTCGTGTTTTATCGCATGGAATCCCCAACAAACTCGGGAGATAGATACTAGTCTCCTCATTAACCAGTGAGACCTCTCCTATAGGTAGAGGTGTCGCACTGGCCTTTGCCAAAAACCACTGAGTCCCTCTGTTAGGTCACTTCTGGATTGTAACATTATAAATATTTGGAAGATTTGCTTCTTGGAATTGCAGTAACTTCCCATTGTTTAGTTCTTCTTGGAAGCCAATGTCCTTCAGTGACATGTCACCTTGAAATAAATGTTAAATTTACCACATTCTCAAATCCAGTCATTCACAAAAATCAGACTTGACTTTTCCTTACTTTCCTTTTCTCTTTTAGACATTTCTAATAAATAGCAATGACAGTCCTCTTATTCTTAGACTTCGTTCTATTTTTTCCCAGTGAGATGATTTTACATTAAAATCATTAAGTATAAGCCAATAATTGTTTTTTTACAATTTTTAGATAGATACATAAATTGTACAAAAGGATTTCATTGTGCTATTTCTACTACATGCATGTGCTGTGACCAAATTCACCTCTCTATTACTTTCTTTTCCTCCCTACCCCTTTTTAAATAATGTTAGCAGATTTCACTCTACTATTTTCCTGTATGTGTTTAAAATACTTTGACCATACTCACACTCCTTCACCCTCTCCAGTAACTGGTTTTAAATACGTTAAATAACTGTTCAATTATCTATTCTCCAAGCTTCATTTCTTTAATTTTGATCTCTAAATACACCATTTGGCTAAGGCCTCGTATATGTGGAGGACAGTGAAGGCATGAGGACAGGCAGCTCTTGCAGGAAAGTCTTCTGGGATGAGAAGCCACCTGTCCAGGCTTTAGGACGTTAAGTCAAGATCCAACTCAAGTCATTCAGATATGGTATAAATCTGGATTGCTACAGAAACTTCACCTCTTCTATACTGCTTTAACACTTTGTAGAAAACTTAGAATTTTTTTCTTTTCTGAGGTGCTTGAGGATCAAACGAAGGGCCTTCTGCATGCTATGGAAAACTTAGAAATTTGATTCTTGATGCCCAGATACTGGCTGTTAGCTATCTAAAACTTTCCCATATAAACTTTCATAGAGTAAATAAAACCAGGCATTGTCTCTTCCTATTGCTGCCCTCTGTCCACACATTACCACATGAAGCACTGTACACAGGTGAAACATTTTACAAATGAAAGTGTGTCACTAAGCAAGGATGAAGGGCAGAACTGAAGGAGGATGTGTGCTTTCATGTGAATCTGAATGTTCCCATCTAGGTTGGTGACCAAATCGTTGAAATCAATGGGGAACCTACCCAAGGCATCACACACACTCGCGCTATTGAGCTCATTCAGGCCGGCGGAAATAAAGTTCTTCTTCTTTTGAGACCAGGAACTGGCTTGATACCTGACCACGGTAAGTGAAATAGCTAAAACACTGATGTGTTAGGGAGGGGAGCAGAGGTGTCTGTCTGGAGGGGGCAGATATTCACTGCTAATTCAGAGGTGAACACAACCATCAAAAGCAGAGGCATTACAGAACAAGTGACTTCAGGCAGGGCATTAGCTGGGGTAAAATCTGTTTTAAATTTATTTCATCTGGAAGCGTATGGTGATCTGTTGAGAAATGTGCCTGTCAGAGACAAGGACATTAGAGGCAGACATTTTAATGTCATGATAAACATCTTCATTTTCTCCTTTCCTTGACTAATTACACATTTCCAACAGAGGTTATTTATTTCCTTAAAGCAAGATATGTTTGTCTAATAATGAGTAAACACCATAAGAACTAATTCTGGTCACTTGTCAAAAACAAATTGCCCCAGCCCTACCTGGAGACACAGAGTTGGGCCTGAGACCGTGTCTGTACTCCTGTACTAATCTTAAACTTCCTTGATTTGTTTTTGAACTAATTATTGTTTGAGTGCATGATGACAGAAGCCAAGGCAGTGCCATCCCACATAGAGCTTGTCCCCGTGGCCCGTCAAAGCTTTCATAGGATGAATGTAGACATCCTCCTACAGCCCCCTTCCAACCTTGATTCTCTGTTGTCTTCCACCGTCTGCTTGTAAACCATCCATTCCCAGTGACATCTTTGCTAACTGAGCTGATTTTTTTTCACATAGTCCTAGGCTTTTTCTCTTCCTTCTTTAGGTTTGGCTCCTTCCGGTCTGTGCTCCTACGTGAAACCTGAGCAACATTAAGGCTTTCAGGGCTTTTCTTGGTCTTTCCTTAAAAAGACTTGGTAAATTTGCATGTCTTATAAATCACTTCCTTCTTTTGTTTTCTTTTTAATTAAATATGATGCTATTAAATACATCTGTTCCTATCTTCTGCACTTTTCAGTCTCCTTTTGACGTTAAATTTGGTAGCTTAATGCAAGAAAATTATTTACAAATGCCCTTAAACCTCATTTGATCTCTTACTAGTGATTCTGGCATATCTTTAAGTTATTAACATCTTAATTAATAAGCTTCTTGGACCAGTGAGTTTGGTCCAATTTCTCTGATTTGGCTTTACAAATAATCTACAGATCATGTATTATCTCACTAATTATACATAATTGGGAAAATGAAGTGTTATGTATGTAAACAATCTACCCTTCATGTGTGAGCAGATGTCTGTACCCATCTGCCTTCACAGAGAGATACATAAGCATATGTAAAGTGGGTAACGCACTTGTCCCTGGGCTATATAAGCAGTCAGTCCATCTCAGTTGGCTGTCAATATTCAAAACTTGATATGTGCGGCCCTATAGTGCTAAGATGTAATGACATCCCACTTGACTCGCTTTCCAGGTAACTGGGACACTAGTAACCCCCCATCTTCCAGTGTGATTTATGATGAACAGCCGCCATACCCCCCACCTTCACATTCTGCTTCTGCGTTTGAGGACTCTTGTGGGCCAATGACTGAAGAAGCTCCAGTGAGAGCTCAGCCATGTGAGAGAGTGGACCTAAAGGACCCTGTACCTCAAAGGAAAAGCACTTTAAATGAAAATCAGTCTCTTCTCCAGAAAAATGTGAACAAGAAGGGTCCACCCAGTGGCCCTGGGCACAGTGACAAGAGAAATCTACTGAAAGAAGAAAATGGTGTCTCACGAAGAGATAGATCTGCTAGTCCCAAAAAGTCAGCTAACCGATATTCAGAAGAACATTTGGAAAAGATGCCCAGTCCTCTAAAAGATGACCCCAAGGGAAGACCCAGAGATCGATCACTCAGCCCAAGGAAAGGGGGGAATAAAAGTCAGATTAACACCAGGGCAAGTTCCGGACAAGATCACTGCAGAAAAAGCAGAGGTCGGTCTTCTAGTCCAAAGAAACAGCAAAAAATTGAAGGAGGCAAAGACCCGTCCAGTGCTGAAGCCAGATTCTTTGAGGGTGAGAGTCGAAGGGCAACAGGCTGCACCAGCGACAATGCTGAAGAGCTCTCAGATGGGAAAGAAAAACCCGGTGCCATCAGGAAAGATCTGAAGCAGAGTCAGCTGGGAAAAAACAAAACAAGGTCTCCAGAGAAAAAGAGCAAGAAGATGGAAGAAAAGTCTCTTCCACCCAAAAAGACCACCAGCATTGCTAGTAGGGCAATATCTGAAAGTGAAAAGGGAAAGAAGACAAACAGCAGAGAAACAAGTTCTAGTAAAGATAAAACAGAAGAAAATGGCCAGCTGACAGAAAAGAAGCTGAGGCAGGAACCTGAAGAGAGGATGGCCTCAAATAAAACAGAGGATCACAAAGGGAAGGAGCTCAAACCTGAAAGTAGCCCTCCAGTTAAGAAAACAATAACTCCAGGGCCCTGGAAGGTGCCGAGTGCAAATAAAGTCCCAGGCACTACTGGCATGGCTGAGAAACAGCTGTGACCTTTGGTATAAAACAAAGAAAAACAAGTTGCATTCTTTTCTTACTAAAAGCAGCATTTTCAAAATAAAATGTCTTTTTTTCAGAAATTCTGGAACACCTAGTACATTTTAATTTGAGCACCAAGTTACCTACACTGCACAAGGGCCTAAGGCCTGTAGGACTGCTCAGAGCCGCTGTCCCTGGCCGCCCTCCCTCACCTCAGAAAGGAGCTACATCCGTGCGCCATCTGACATGCCCTGCTCAGGCTGCCCAGCTGACTTGTCTCCATGAACATCCAAATATGACATGTCACAACTCACTTTGTTGTGTGCCGAGTCATCTACTGTCTCGTGTGTTTCACCCTGCTCATTCAGGTCTTTCCACGGGGATAAAGTCAGGATTAGCTTGGAAGCTGATGTTCTAGATAGCATGTTGCATGTTTACAAAGAGCAGCATCTGAGTCCTGCAGGAGTGATCTTTAGCTCCTCACTAGAGACAGCGGTTGCCTCTTCTAACACCACTGATGGTACCTAGTGGAAAACTCCAGAACGTCACCACTTTAAAGCAAAAAACTGCATATGTTGATGCTTTCTTAAGGCTTTTTTTAATTTGGCTGAATAGGTGTTTCAATAACTATTGAAGATATTCCTTCCAACTGAATGTTCAAAATAAGAAAATACTCTAAGTAATAAAGTTCACCTCCTGCTGTGTTACCCAACCTGACGTGTAGAACTTCTCAGGTTTCCCTTTCTCATCAAGGCCACCAGGAAGCATGCAGAAGTACTGCTTATTGCTTTTTGAAGAATAACTACTATTTCTGGATATTTTACTTGTATCTGCTACTAAAGTCATTAGTCTTCAATACATATTCCAAGAGTTAGATTATTATCCAGATAGTGTGAGGGACATAATCATGACAACAGTCTCCCAGCTCCATGCCAGGCTCAGGCTCCCGCTCCTCACATCTGGCAGATGTGGACAACCGCAGATGTTCAGAAGCAGAACCCGTGTCGGGTCTGCCCATGAGGCAGGACAAAGTAGGCAGACTATACATGCTGGATCTTAGCTTTAACTTTTAGCTACATCAACTTTCTTATTTAAAAACAAAGGGAGACCAAATATCTGCTAAGCTTACACAACTTTTCAGAGTCCTTTTCTAAGAGTCTAAAATGTTTGCTGGAAGTTGGAGGTAGTTTTTAACCTCAAAGAAGATGCAGGTTTTCAGACTCCAGCAGCATTCAGTAGCATCTATAAATACGGCCCATTCTCAGAATGAAACTCTCAATCATGGAGCATTCGAACACACTTGGTCTGTTACCCTTGGTTCATCCTGTGAAACACACATCCAGCTCCTTCCCTCTGCGAGTCTGCCTATGTAACAACTGTGTCAGCTCTGTAGATGCCACGTGCTTCCCAGAGTGAGGCTTTTGAGATCCCCTCTCCTCCAGAGCTGTATCTATCCACCTACCATAACTGCGTTGAGTAAAGCAAAATTAGGAGGCTTGAGAAAATGCTGAGAACTTAGTGTCACAGAAATGATTTCTTTTCCCAATAGTCCACAATTAGTGATGCAAATCCTATTTTAATTGTTAACTGTGACATAACTTGGATGTCATATGTTAGTCTCATGTGGCTCTTCCTTTCTAAATAACCTGTCACTGTACCGATTCTATACTGACTTAGCAGTGTGGCCTTGGAATGCTGAGCACGATATGGATGTGCTGGTTGTAAATGTTTATATATGTACAGTACCTTTATATATACACTTGAGGTTCTGATTAGAGAGATCTGTAAATCGCTCGTTATTTTTTATATAGATATTAAAAAAAAACAAAAACAGTTCCTGGCCTGTATTTCTTTGACTCTGCTTTGTTTAATGTTGCTTTCTGTTTGTGGAGCTAGTTCCCATCATGACCTGAGTCCTTGGATAGATTTTTGTGTCTCCACATAACCCTACAATCAGAAAGATTCTTGTAACATGACCTTACCTGTACAGTGAAACTTTCATCCATATGTGGAATTTGAATTAAATAACATTATACCTACTTTTCACCTTTCATTGTAAATAGTTTTGCATTAATAACTTGCTACTAAAAATACCTTTCTTACACTGTGAGGGCAAGAAAACTGTCTTCCTGGACTTTGGTTACTAGCATTTGTATGGATCTAGAGTGGAAGTCCAGGTCATAAAACTCTTTATTTCTTCAGACTGGCAGTTCCTATTATTATTAAATGTTTTATTTACTTTTAAATTTGCTTTAGAATGAAGTGTTTAGACAGGTTCATTTAACTCTCAGTATGAGCAATGCCTACAATCTACTCTGGAGGACAAAAATTCCTACCTACTATTACATGAACTCACACCAAAAAAAAAAACAAACAAAAAACAAACCCAGCCCTCTTGTTTCCAGGCCGAGGCTGTGGAGTGGCAGCAAAATACTTTTGTTGTAGACATACTGTCTGACATGATTTCACTGGGAGACAAGATGGTTGCAGCACTTCTATGGAGCTCTTCTACCACGGTCCCATCATCTTTGCTGACCAAGCAACTCTGAACAGGGTTAGTTCCTAGCTCACAGTCTTGGACTCAGAAAAGCATTTACTTTTTTATTTTTATACAAGCATATCCTGCTATTTAACAAAGGAAATAACCAAGATATTCACATATTGAAATAAAAAGCCAAATGCTTTTTTGAACACCTGGACAAATGGAATTCTATGTTTAATATGTCCATTATTCGTAAAGAGCTGAGTTTTAAGAAAGCTAAGTATTCACATTAGATTATCTAACAGTCTACCCAGTGACTTCCAGGAGGATGTGTTTAAGTTGGAGCCTAGCCCATCTTGTGCTCCTAGAACTAAGGAACCTTTGTATAAAGTTTCAAAATGTGACATGAGAATAATTTTTTTGCATCAAGGCATGCTCCAATGCCTAAAGTGCTTTTTAAGCAGTAAAATGCATGTTTATTTGGGGAGTTCTTTTCTGTTCCTACTAGGATTTTATCAGCAAAATGATGAGTTGTTTAATGTATGCCACAATTATTACATCACGTCTATAATCATTAATTAGCAGAGTAAAAGATGCCCAGTAACTCAGGTGTGTCTTCAATGTTGTTATGCAAATAGCATTAAACATAAGAAGGAAATCTGAAAGCTTGTAAAGAATTGTATTCAGGGCTGCCAGAATGGCTCAAGTGGTACAGTGCCTATCTTGCAAGTGTGAGGCCGATTTCAAACCCCAGCAACACACACAAAAGGAAAAACTTTAAAAAAAAAAAAAAAAAGGTATCAAGTAGAAAAACCTGAATCTTTTTCACTTAGACAATAAATTATGAAACAGCCAAATGCTTTGAATTAGCCTTAAATTCTATTTTGACAAAGAATCCTGTGGCCACTTGTCTATTTTATAATATTTGCATTAAACAGACAGTTAGCAAATTCACAAACAGGCTCAGTCATCCTCAGTAAAGGACAATCATTTGTTAACTTGGGCAATACCTTCACACAGCTTACTGGCTCAGGATATTCTGCAGGAAAGGCACAGAATTAATGCACATTTGTGACACTCAAGTTTCATCACTCAACATGGACATCAGTAACTGCAAGAAGCAAAAGATTACTTCAAATTACTCGACTGTCAGTACAGGTATAAATTAGATAAAGTTTAATGAATTTACCTTTTTTTGGCAGTGCCAGAATTGAACACAGAGCCTCGCATGCATATCATGCAAGTGCTCTCCCACTGAGATGCACCCCCAACCCGTGAACTTACTTCCTATATTACTGTATTTGGAAGTGAAACCTACCTGGCCCATTGTGAGCATGTAGACCTAACATCTAGAAGTTTTCAACAATGAATTCTATTCACTGGAAATAAGGCTATTTTTACAGCATATAGGTCCACTTAACTCTTACATACAATGAACCAGAAGTAAAAACAAAAATCCACAAACTTACACTTTGTGAGACATCCTGGTATTTAGAATTTTTCTGCCTCTGAAAGTCAAGAAAACCATACTCCAGTTAGGCTAGGATTTGGCTATCCAACTTTTCAAAGTGGCTACAGTACACGCGGCCGTAATCTTACGTACTTAGGTTTGTAGATCACCTCTCCAGAGCAATTTCACCCTTCACTTAATTTCTGAATAATGTAAATATTACCAAAATCATCCCTTTTTGGGGAGTCAAACAAAAGCTTGAGTTACTAAGGATTTATTGTATGGGGTACATGAACTACTGAGGGAAGATGAACCAGGAAATAACAACTCTTCTGTCCTTACAGAAAAAAATTGCGTGGATGGTACTGGGCATGAGGTCTGTTCATGATTCTTCTGCTATGTCTGTTTACTGAGCATCTGCTTTGGTGCTGACCATCCTGAGCCCAGGGAAGAACAACAGTCCTTTTACATTCTTGTGGGAAGGAAGCACACAAGTAGGTAAAAAATTTGAAGAAGAAACTGACAGGATAAAACTGATGAATAACTAGGTTCATCAGAGAAGTTGCTGAGAGCTGAGGGAAGCAGCAGCCAGACTGGGGTGAAGTTAAGGAAATGTATTCCAGGCAGAAGAAGGCAGCTTGCACAGAACTGCTCTGAGAGCTGTGTGTGAGGGTGGGGAGAGACAGTGGGGGCGACGTAACCAATGTACAGTGTAAGCCTAATCAGAATTGTCACTATGAATCCTCCCCCTGTATGACGAATATCTCCTCATAAAAAATTATAATAAAGAAATAAACGTTTCCAACACACACACAAAAGCTTCATGTGATGGGCGGACACGGCGAAGGAGAGGAATGGAGGTGGGAGGTAAAGCCAGAAGCTGAAGTAGCCACAAAGGAAGGAGGCGGCCCTGGACATCTAGGACAATGGAAGTGTCCTTTCCAAATTTTCAGCCCATTCACATGGCTCTGGAGAACTGGCTGTCATCGGCAGCAAAGAAAACTGACAAGGGAGCGTCACAGCCCAGGCAAAAGAAGCCAGCTTTACCTGGAGCAATGAGAATGTGGAGCTGACGGACTTGGTGGTGGACTGGATACAGAGCCTTTGGTTTCAGCAACTGGGTGGTCTGGGAAAACATTTGCTCACCCAATTTAACAAAGCTAAGAATGGGAACTGGATGTTTGGTTCTGAACAAAGGCATCACAGGATAATGGAATTAAATAAGTTGAGCCCCATAACTGCCCAAATAACTGCCCACTGGCAGCTTCTAGACTGCAGAGTCGAAACTGAGAACCCAACCAACTAGTCTTGCCAAGTTGAGAAGGCAGCTGAGCCAGTGAAGCTGGCTCAGGTTTTCAGGAAAGAGTACCACAGAGTCTGCAGCTGCACAGAGCAAATGAGCAAGCACCCCAGAACAGGCAAAGAGCCACCACAAAGCAGCAGGTAGAAAAACTGCTGAAGTTCACAAGGTCTGGGAATGGCTCATGTTCCCAAAGTAGAAACCTTAGTAATGACCAGAAGATCACACACAGCACACAGGTGCTGCTCAGCAGAGAAAAGTAACCCGACGGCTAGGAGCATGGCTCAAGTGGTAGAACACTTGTCTAGCAAGCAGGTAGCCCAGTCTTACAGGAGCCACAGAAAAAAGAAAGAAAGAAAAATAACCCAAAAACAAACTCCTCTGGCTCACCTACCAAGTTTAAAAGCAAGCTTTGAAATAATCAAACATTCTAAGGAACTCTATTCCAAACTAAAGCTCAACATTTAAAAGATTACAAAAAGAATGCATCCATACACTCAAAACCCACTAACCAACCATGTAAAGTTCTCAGCCAATAACAAATTACTGAGAATGTAAAAAAAGGAAACATGACCCCAAATGAAAACTCACTCAATAAAAACAAATCCCAAAATGACCCAGAAAGCTGTTTTAATATCCTTGTTTATATTTTGATTATAAATAGGTTACATGAAAAAAGGTAGACAAAAATTAAGTGTGTTAAGGAGAGATGTGGAAGATAAATTTTTAAAAGACCAAATCCAGCTTTCACAGATTAAAAAATTATTTTAGATAGAGTGAGGCATGGTGGTATTTACCTTAATCCCATCACTCAGGAGGCTGAGGCAGGAGGATAAAAGAGTTTGAGGCCCACTTGGGCTACATAGTGAGACAAAAACAAACAATGGGATGAGATTACCAAATTAGTGCAGAAGAATGGGTTAGAGAACTTGCAGGTGGGGCAAAAGAAGCCATACAAATGAAAAAGATCGGAAAAACATGAGCTGAGGGGCAGCTGCAAGCAGCCTCATGTATACATAAACCTGAGTCCCAGAAGGAGGGGGGTATAGAAAAATCATTTTAAGAAATGCCAAAATTTTTCCAATTAAGTCATGTGAAAATACAAGATGGTATAAAAATGATATGAAAACTATAAGCCATAGATTCAGTAGGTCCAAGAAACCCAAGCACAAAAAAGAAAACTATACCAATATATAATTAAATTGCACAAATTCAATGGGAAAGATAAAATCTTAAGAGCATCCAAAGTTTAGGAGGAAAAAAAATATATCAGATACAGAAGAACAAAGATAAAAATGAAAATGAAGCAGACTTCTGGTCAGAAACAATGCAGTGGAGCAACTCTATTTTTAAACAGAATATTTATACCCAGCAAAAGTATCTTTTACATGTAATAAAGATTCAAAGTATTTCTCAATAGAGCAGGCCTACATTGTCCACTAAAATAATTTGGATTTATCTTCAAAAAGAGAGGAAACCATTCATGGATTCTACATGATGGGACTTATCAGAAAAGACATCACCTTTTTGAGGAGAGTAGATTGGGTGTGGGGGAGAGAACAGCCACATCTAAAACAGAAGCTCAGTCTGTGCTCCGTACCTCACAGGACACTCTCACTTAACACTAACAACCCTATTACATAGTCACTGTCCCTATTTACCAGGGGAGGAAATTGAGATGGAAAGAGGTGAACTTGTCCCAGGTTCTCAAGCTAAGTAGGAATGCCAAGAATTCAAACCCAAAAGGATCTGACCTCGGTCCCTGAACTCATGAGAAGTTTATGTCTGGCAGGAATGATTTTTAAATATTAAGCATAGTGATCTTAAATGAGCACATTTCATACATAATAACCAAGTTCCACAAAATCTTCACATTAAAAATGTTCAGATTTTCAATCTGCCTCAAGAGATTCTTCAAAGCAGGTAGCATAATGAACAATTCTGGAGTTTTAACATACGTATGTGCACATGTGTAACAGGGAATGATAAAAAAACCTACATCAAAGGCATGGCTTGGCCAATTTCAGACACTGAGAACCTGAAACTACAGAGAGTTAGATACATGAAACTACACAATGAATAAACTCTTCGCGCTGTATGGTGGGCTACATGGTAGACGAGGATGAGTGACATATACTGAAGTTTCTTATGCTGAATTACTTGGCATACTGTATGCATAACTCACCAGCAATTATAACTATTAGGATTAACTCAAAATCATAAGCTAATTAAAAATTTCTCCACAACTGAATGGAAATTCACGCCTGAAAAGGTTTTTTTCTTTAACCACAAAAAAAAGCTTAGAAACAAATCTCCAGTAAAGTTCTTTTATTTGGATTCAACCTAAAATAGGCTGGTCCCTCTTTGATAGAGAAACCTCCAATTCCATAGACTATAATAGAAAAGTACTAAGTGTGCATTTTTCCAATAAAAGATATTTGCTTCATGCTTCGGGCATCTTCCAGTTACCCTAGAGATTATTCCAGTAAATGTAACTGTCACAGAAGTGCCCAGAAGAAATTTCCTAACTTAAAACACCGCACTTGTGTTACTGTAACGCACACAGTCTTTAGTCTGCTGACTGTTCATACTGTTTGAAAACCATGAAAGTACAGGTTTTTAGCATGCACACCCAGGTAAGAAAGGACTTGCTCCTCTGAGAAAACCCTTCGCTAGGTTTGGCAGGGCGGAGAGCACCTGTGCACAGGAACGAGCTGGGGTCCCCTGGGTTCTGCAGTCATCTCTTTCCTTAGCGGGTGAATACTGATGCCGGCCAGGGGAGAATCCAGGCACATGACTTAGCTTATGACTTAATTTTCCACAGCTAAGGAAAAAAAAAAAGCACCAAGAAAAGTTAGTCCTAAGACAAACAGGATTTAGAGGTACACTCACATGACTAAGAACCAAGAACCCTTTACCTAAGAGGAAAATACATCACCTCTGGTAATCACAACCGTCGATCACAGAAAAAAACATCAAAAATGATACAGTGCAGTTCATGTATTATTGATTCTCACTCTACCTCTGAATACTTCCCAAGATCAGAGTAAGACCTTTACCCAGTCCACGCTATTAAACTGACATGAAATTTAAACTTCACTTTTTGTTCATTCAAGAGTTCAAGTTTACATGTGTAAAATGAGGAGAGCTAAACTGAGAAGCCTGTGGCCCACCAAGCAAAATGTCTATTTCTTTACCTCAAGTTATTTCCATGCTACACACAGTACAAAGAACACAGATTATTATACACAATGATTTTTAACACACGATAGTATGGAGTGGTAGTCACTCATACTTACTCTTATATTAAATCCTAGAAGATCACTTATAACTCCTGAGACAGCAGAAAGGATAACTACTCTTGTGATATTGTAGATTAAGGGATTCATTGTCAGTCCATAGAGTCTGAACGGTGTGTCCAGCTCCTACAAAAACACAAAGAACTGAGATGAGACGTGTGCTTTTCCAGTAGCTATCAGTACTTCACGCTGCTTTTTAAGTCTCGGGGGAGAATGACTGCTTAATACTCAAGAGCTACCTTGAAAAAATCTGTAAGGTATATACCTACTTTTCCATGGCCTAAGCTTTTTAAGATAAGTTGAAGCAGTATGTTATTTATAATTTTTTCAAAAGTAATCTCAAAAATGTGACAGGTGTCAGCAATCATCAGAACTGTAGTAAGACTGCTCGTGTTTTTCTTACATAGTTATTAACCCAAAACCACTGGGTTGGTATTTTGGATCTGCATAGCCTGGTACTTACCTGTTAGGAAGGGCTTTTCTAAAAAGTAAAACATTGATTTAATTAATGAGAAGCAAGCTTATTTCACCTTATCTTTTTTATATAAAAGTACGATGTGGTACTAACAACTGTAGTGCAGACTCTTTGCACAGAGATGGGTGGGTCTTCTGGCTTTGGTCAGTGAATTTCTGGGAGCTGACCATATCTCTTTCCAGAAGTCAGGGTAGGATAACTGTAGTCTGAGAGACAGCATCACAGGTGGCCTTGGTGAAGCTGCAAAGAGAAGCAGTCCAGTCCACAGCCAGGGTATAGCTGTCAACACCAGCCCTGGAGCAGCTTCCTGGACCAAGCTAGTGGCACAGAGCAGGGATGAAGATACCAATAGCCACCTTGCAGACAGCATGAGGCCTATCTGTTCCTCCAGCGGCCACGCCACATGGGGTGACAGTTAGCTTAACCATGTTGGCAGCCCCTCGGTGGTGTTGGCTACTTCCCTGGAACAGTAACGCTCAGACCAACATGGCTAAAGTACCTGATGGCAGCAAACCTCATCTGCTGGCCAGCCAATTCTGCTTTTATGTGGGCAAAATCTTGTCTTAAGGGATGTCACCAGGGAGAAGCCAATGATCTCTGATTCGTTGATAGGCAGGGAGAGGAGGCAGATCTCCTCCAGGAACATGCTCCTCCTGCTTTTGACCAGGCGGCCCAACTAAGAGATGGAGCCACACTGTCCTCAGCCTTGCCTCCAGGAGCTCTGAGCCCTTGGTTCCAGCTGACCAGTGCCCTGACCCCTGAAGCCTGGGCTCCAGGGCCTTCTCTGGGGCTTCCTGCCTGGCTAAGGAATCATCTATCTTGGTATTTTCTCAGAGAAGATGACTTATTTTGAACTACAGTAAAAATGTATCATAAGATATTACTTACTTTTAACAACTTGGTGGACAGCTTTAATACATTGTTTACTAGAGTGAGCTGTTCTTTCTTATTTGGCTTTTTTTCCATCTTAAGATACAAATTAATCTAAGGGAAAGAATAGAGATTAAGGTACAAAAAACATGTATGCATATATAAATATACATGTATGTACAAACACATACTACATAAAATCTGGCAGATTTTGAGGGTCATGTTTTCAATTTTGAATTTCTAGCAGCTAGAATATATGCAATATAACCTAGCCAGATCCCTAATCAGTCTCCCTATGGCAAAGAAAAACACAATGAAAATGATGAAGCAATTTAAATATCACAACAATTTAAAATTTCAATAATGCAATATAACATGATCGCCATGTAAATTCCCAAAAAATCTAGCATCCCTGTTAAGATTTGTGGAAAGTTAAGAAAATAGTTGCTTTTAATTTACTAATTCCTTTCCACCTCACAGGGTGAATTCTCCATTATGATTCCATGGACAAAAAAAGAAAAGAACGAGAGAAAGAAAAATAGGCTGAGCGTAGTAGCTCAAGCCTTCAATTCTACTGAGATCAGGTTCAAGGCCAGCCCCAGGCTCGGCCCACTGAAAAAAAAAAATTCAAGAGACCCCATCTCATCCAATGGCTGGACAAAGTGGCACATGCCTGTCATCACAACTACGCCGGGAAGCACAAATTGGAAGACTTCACTCCAGGCCAACCTGGGTATAAAGTGAGACCCTATCTCAAAAATAACCAACAAAAAAAAAGGGCTAGCAGAGTAGCTCAAGTGGTAGAGTGCCTGCCTAGCCAAGCATGAGGTCCTGAGTTCAATCTCCTGCCCCTTCAAAAAAATCAAAATTAAAAAAGAAATCATTTAGCAACAGAGGGAGTGAATTTGATCAAAACACATATGCATGTATGGAAACAGCACAGTGAAACTTCCCCTGCCCTTTTTTGTGGTACTGGGGGTTGAACTCAGGGTCTGTGGTTGATAGCAGGCACTCTACCACTTGAGCCACTCCACCAGCCCTTTTGCAGTGGTTATTTTTTTGTTGTTGCTCATTTATTTACATGTGCATACATTGTGTGGGTAATTTCTCTACCCTGCCCCCCACACAGTTCCCCCCCACTCAGCTCCAGGCAGGTCCCATTCTGCCCTTATCACTAATTTTGTTGAAGAAAAGACATACGCGTAATAAGGAAGACAAAGCATTTTTGCTAGTTAAGAGTAGCTATACAGAGAAATTCCTACTATTGCTTTCATGTACCCATGTGTTACGACCCATGTTGATTCAACTCTAACTGATCTTTACATTGGTTCCCGATACCCTGATCATAATAACCTCTGTTGTTTTAAGGTTTCTGTATTAGTTCCTCTGGAGTGGGGACATCAAACGCTTTCATGTTTTGGATTTTCTACCTATTCCTGCATCTCCCGTATGTGCTTTCCCCTTGTCTTGTGATCCAAGTCCAACCACATTGCTGCATTTGCCCTAGATCTAAAGTCCGCATATGAGGGAGAACATATGATTTTTGGTCTTCTGAGCCTGGCTGACCTCACTCAGAATGATGTTCTCCAGTTCCATCCATTTACCAGCGAATGATAACATTTCATTCTTCTTCATGGTTGCATAAAATTCCATCGTGTATAAATACCACATTTTCTTGATCCATTCGTCAGTGGTGGGGCATCTTGGCTGTTTCCGTAACTTGGCTATTGTGAATAGTGCCGCAATAAACATGGGTGTGCAGGTGCCTCTGGAGTAACCTGTGTCACAGTCTTTTGGGTATATCCCCAAGAGTGGTATTGCTGGATCAAATGGTAGATCAATGTCTAGCTTTTTAAGTAGCCTCCAAATTTTTTTCCAGAGTGGTTGTACTAGTTTACATTCCCACCAACAGCGTAAGAGGGTTCCTTTTTCCCCGCATCCTCGCCAACACCTGTTGTTGGTGGTGTTGCTGATGATGGCTATTCTAACAGGGGTGAGGTGGAATCTTAGTGTGGTTTTAATTTGCATTTCCTTTATTGCTAGAGATGGTGAGCATTTTTTTCATGTGTTTTTGGCCATTTGAATTTCTTCTTTTGAGAAAGCTCTGTTTAGTTCACTTGCCCATTTCTTTATTGGTTCATTGATTTTGGGAGAGTTTAGTTTTTTAAGTTCCCTGTATATTCTGGTTATCAGTCCTTTGTCTGATGTGTAGCTGGCAAATATTTTCTCCCACTTACAGACCATTTCTTTTGTTGTGCAGAAGCTTTTTAATTTTATGAAGTCCCATGTAGTCATCCTTTCTCTTAGTTGCTGGGCTGCTGGAGTTCTATTAAGGAAGTCTTTGCCTATACTTATTTTTTTGAGATAAGGTTTGACTTTGCACCCAGGCTGGCCTGAACCACAATCCTCCTATTTCTTCTTCCCCACATGGCTAAGGATGACAGTGCATACCACCAAGCCCAGCCATTGGTTGAGACTGGGTGGGAGGGGAGGGTCTCACTTTATGCCTGGGCTGGCCTGGAACTGATATCCTCCCAATCTCCACCTCTCAAGTAGCTAGGATTACAGGCTTGAACACTCAGCCACAATTAATACAATAAAAATACCCTTCAGTATACAAAGTATTTTCCATTCATTAGATCTTAATTCTTATAATTCTGGAGCAGGTGAGGAAGATGTTATACCCACTTTCTAAGGAGTAAGCAAATACAGAGCAGCAAAGTGACATGTGAAGTCACATACCTAGAAAGTGACAGCTAGATAGTGACTGAACTCTGAATCCTTAGCATAAATATTACCACCTCTAACCACTGACAGACCCATCAATACCTGTTCTGTAAGTAAGATTGAAACATTGCTGTATTTCTTATTGGTCTCAGACCCCAGGGAGGCCAGGCGCAGTAAGAAAAGTAGCAAAGCTGTCTCCCAGATCAAAAACTCCCAGTTGTACGCATCATTCAAGAAAGTTTTATGTCCTTGTAGAACCTATCAAAGGACCCAAGAAAAATTCAGATTTTAATGTCTTAAAATCATATAATTACTTCAACGATTTTAAAACATTTTCAAGAATCTCATGTTTTAATACTCAAAGCAGAAGAGTTTTAATGCTCCTAAAGCGTATCTATTTATTAGCCCTTATGTATCTAAATGTCCTAGAAGCAAAGGTCTAGAAGTAACAGACACGATGTAATATGTAACAGGAAAACTGCATTCCCAGCCACCTGCATCACCACTGTCCACTCTCCAGTGTATGATGAGCGGTGTTTAAAGCATTAACTGTGCATGGTGTCCAATGAGCTCGTAAAGTAATGCAGCCCACCCCTGCTATAACCAGAAAAGCTTGAGATCGGTTCTTTAGTCCATGATAGGATCCAAGTAATAACAGCAGGAGCAGCTATCATTCATTGAGTGCCCACTACATGTCAAGTTTTCTGAGAAAAGTTTTTGTTGCTTTTAAAATTTGACTTAAGAGTAAAGAGATTTACTCAAGCAAGGTAATTCACTGAAAAACATAGAGAGAACTCTCACAGAAACCAAGTTCAGGCCTTCTGAGAAGCAGGAGGGCAGCCACCATGCAGCTGCCTCACATCTCTCTCCCAGCTCCATTCCTCTTGAACAATTCCACTGCCTTACAAGACTCCTATTTCCTGCTTCCACTTTAACTTTGGCTTAAGTCAGGTTGGGCTTGTCACAGCACCCTCTGGCCCCCTGACCCTCTCCTGACCTTTCTTCTCCCAAATCCATCACTGACATCTCAGGTTCTTAGCTCTAATTTCCAAAACAGTGAACAATTATCTCAGTCTGGATCAGGTTCACTGCTGTCAATTAGCTCTAACTAGGAGGAAGAAAGGTGTAACTGTTCAGAGAACTGATACAATTTGTTGCGTAACAGATACCAAATATGCAAAATCATGGCCAAGCTGCAATAAAACCAAAGAGAATCTTAAGAAAAACCAGACACTGGGAGGTAGGGCGGTGTGAAGGATGATCAAAAGTACATTATATACATTTACAAAAATGCCACAATGAAATTCATCAAAACATGGATGAAAAAAGGTTATTTTTAAAAGACCAACAATAAGACTAACAACTGACTTCTCAACACAAAATATGGAAATCAAAATACAACAGAATCCTAAAGAGAATTCATCACCAGCAGATTGGCACTAAAATAAATACTAAAGAAGTTATCCAGAGAGGAGGAAAATAATCCAGAGAAACAGAAATGAAATAATGAAAAGCAATGGACAGGATAAATATATAGGGACAAATAGAAAAGAATAGTTGACTATATAAAACAATCACATCTTTTAGATTTTAAATATATATATATATAATTTACATAATGGATAAAAATAACAGAAAATGAAAGAGTAAATGAGAGAAAGTGTTCTAAGATCCTAGCATTATCAAGAAAACTGTAAATTAATCATCTGGTTAGGCTATACTTATCAATCATTTTATTACACCTTAATAAATTAACCTCTGAGGTTACTACTAACGCAATAGTAAAAGAATGTAGAGGTCAATGGAAAGAATTACAGTATTTATTAATAAAAACATGACAAGAAGAGAGAACAGGGAAAATCAACAGGTAGACCAAACAAAGCAAATAATGTTTGTAGCTGTAGTAATTATGTTAAGTTTAAATGAGCCAGACCAAAACACTTAAGACTGTAGCACTGGATTAAAAGATAATAACCAAACAGAACATTCTGACTGTAAGAGACAAACCTACCTATGCAAACAAAGATACAAATGCAAAAATACTCTAAAGACAGATAATGCAGTTAAACTAATATCAAAACATGCAGAAGCATTAGAAATAGACACATTTTATAAGGTCACAAAAGAAAAAAGAAAAAGCCTAACACTTTTCCAGATTAAAAGACACTAACAAAACATAATATCCAAATGCAATCTGATTCTGAACTGGATACTGGACTTAGGGAAAAAGAACTATAAAGGATATAAAAGGCCATCCACCAAGAGACCAATAACAATCCTTAGTCTGAATGTACCCAGATAAGCAGCCTCAAAACAAATAAAGCAAGGCAGGCATGGTGGCGCACACCTGAAATCTGCAATCCCAGCCCTCAGGAAGCACAGGCAGGAGGATTACACATTCAAGACTAGTCTGGACAAGACCCTGTCACAAAACAAGGAATTTTAAAAAAATACATAAAGCGAATTGACAGAAATAAAAGACGAATCCATAATCATTGTTGACATAAACATACTTCTACCAAACGCAAAAAGCAAACCAAAGAATGAATAAGACAGCTTGATCAATGCAACTGAAAAACCTGGGTTTTTTTTTTTTAATATATAGAACATTGCTCTCAACAATGACAGAACTCAAATTCCTTCCAAAGTACTGGTGGAAGGCGTAATAAAACTAAACATATGCTGGATTATAAAAGAAGTTTCCACCTATTTCAAAGTACAGAAAACAGTCGTATGTTCTCTTGACCACAAGAGAATTAAGTTAAAACTCACTGAAGGAAAAGTACAAAGGAAGCCTGTAACTTCCTGTAATGCAGAAAGAAAAAAAGTGCTTAAAAAGACAACAAAAGCACCTGCCAAAGGACACAGCAAGGGCCTTCAACGGACTCCACTGGCCAAATATGGGACAATTTACACATCAAAACACATATAGTAACAGATTATAACCCAATAGATAAAATAATACATCATGTCACAGAGTAATAAAAATGAACAAAAGGAATGACAAAGGCCTACCTTACATTATAATAAATGTAGAAGGGATAATGTAGTTAGAAAATCACTGTTCTCAACTATCAGAGTATGATAGCTTTATTTTCAGTTAAAAATTACCAACTAAAATTAAATTAGAAAGATCTTAAGAATTTTAACTTCAAAATTACCTCTATTTCCATTTCAAAATGTTAGAAAAACTAACAAGTATTCAAAAGAAATACAGACACATTTCTTATATACTTCAAAGTACAGTGACCTGATCTAAAATGGAAAGTGAACCCTATAATGGCATTTCTGCTTTTCATTAAAACAGATACGAAGCTTTTACCTGGGCACAACAGATGAAAGCAATCGAAAGCGTCAATAAGAAGACTGAAGATACAACCACATCAACTGAACGCTGCGGACCTCGTCTCTGTGGCGGGAGACATACATTAATGTTTTAGATTACTGTCAGAGCAGCAACAGCATCAGTAACATGCAGAATTTTATTACATTCATGTGAAAATAAATGTTTACAAGAAGTTTCCAACATACGATTTTAACTTATTTGGGGTATCATCCACTTGAAGCACTGAAATCTGTGTCTCTCAAAATTAAGAGTGTGACTGATATTTCCAGCAAGGATATTTCCCGAAGTCAGAGAGAGAGATGCAATATTTAATTTATCACTCTGCCCCAGGAAATTTTAATTTTCTTTTCCCTTTCTAAGCCTTTATTTACTTACCCCTACCCGCTCTATGGATAGATCACATCTACCTTGATGTCCAGCAAATCTGTCGGCCACTGATACAACCTGCCCAACAGCTGGCCGCTAAGTAACAGCTGCCCAGACGTCAGTGGACTGCTCTCTGTATGGTCTTGAGTTTGTTTGTCTGGGGTTTTTACAGTGGTACTGGGGTTTGAACTCAAGGCCTCTTGCTTGCAAGGCAGGCAAGTGCAGATTCTTGCACAGTTCCTGCTGTTAACCAAATAAAACTCACCTTCAGATAGGAACGCAGTGACAGCCATATTTTAATGTTCTCCACCTTTTTAAGTCTGAAATGAGGTATTTCATATTTCCTAGCTTTCCTGGCAGAAGTAATATGGCTGAAGAGTTTTGCAAATAAAAATCTCTAAAGGAGGTTAAAAAAAAAAATCACAAAACAAAATGTTCATACATGTCTTTGGGTGTATATTTATATAATTGTCAACAATATTCCCAGAATATATAAAGTGTTTAAAAAATAAAAAAGAATGAATTGTTGCCAGTGATCACTAAGAACAGGCAGTGAAGCCCTCCTCAGTAACTTGTTACCCCGCTGCTTCCAGGGCACGCTATACAATAATGTACTTCTCCAAAACACAGTATATTTTTGACATTTGCAAGGAATATTCTTTGGAAACTTTTTGTGAACCCTGAACAACTCCAATACTTGTACAAGATTTTGGCTTATTCCCAAATTGTATTTCTTTTTTTTTAGCAGTACTGAGGTTTGAACTCAGGACCTTGTGCTTGCCACGCAGGTACTCTACCACTTGAGCCACACCCCAAGCCCTTTCTGCTTCAGGTATTTTTTGAATAGGGTCTCGCTTTTTTTAAGCTTGAGCCAGCCTGGACCTTAGTCCTCCTATTTACACTTCCTCCATAGCTGGGATGACAGGTGTATGGCACAACACCCAGCCATGAACTCATGAACTTTTTCTTGGGCTGCCCTCCAACTGTGACCCTCCTGATCTCTGCCTCCCAGATAGCTAGGATTACAAGTATGAGCCACGGTGCCCAGCCCAAACTGTATTTGTATTTACAATCACATTTCTTGTGCATACCATCACTACATTAAGTCCTCAATCCATAACTCATCAAATTTCAACAAATTTAGTACTTGTATGACCACAAGAAGTACTGCTTTGGGAATCTACATGTGCACTGAGGTGCAAATGCCGCACTGCCAGCTGAGCCACTCAGTCTGCGGATTATAACATGTAATTTGTAAATAGTCAATAACACAAACACTAACCCACAAGTACCAAAATCAAGAGAACATAAACAACTCGATGGAATATAATATGCAAAAACAAAGGTAAGAAAGTTTGCTTATTTGTCCACATACCTGTTTATATGTTCTCTCTGCCACACACATCATGAAAAAAAACATCCATGTAAGACACAATCTTTCAAAAAAGTTAATTATAGACAAAATAATAACAGGTGTAACAGGCGGTGCCCCACAAAAGAGAGTCAGGATCTCCTCGGCTGAAATGGACTTCAGTTGGTCAAGGGTCTTCTCACGGAAGAGTCGATACAGGAAAGGGAAAAGCGCTAAGCCGACGGTGACGGCATTGCCGAGCATCTGGTAACCCACTCCCTGCTGACAGGCATTAACCTGGGAAGTGACGCAGAGTCTCCATCAGTACTGCACAGTGAAGTGAGTGACAAAAAGAATCTATCATACTACCGAGAATCACATTTTAAAGGAAGTACAAATAAATGATATACAAATCTGGACTGGGGTTGAGGCTAAGCATGCCAGAGGCCTTTATTTCAGCACCAAAGGGCGGGAGGGGATGTACCCAGACTCAAGACTTAACCATGAATTGCCCTCAATGAGAAGAGGAATATCTGTAGCACATACTGACCGACTGATGGTGCTAACAGAGACCATATATAACAATTTTTTAAAAAATACTACCAAGTGAAGTCTGACTACAAAGTTTAAAATCTGCATTGTATTTTAAAAGCAGAGCCATGTTGCTCTAATCACTAGGCAGATTCTTACGAAGCAGATTCTGATCTCTGAAAAGTCTGGGACTTATCCCTCTTACCCTGCTCATGATGACACCACTGATCTCCAGCACAGACATGTCCATCTTTTTGCACTCATTTCCTTCCCAGATGATTGCACTTACTCGGTCAGAGGCCGGACTTGAGTTCTGAAGCCAGAATAAATGGTTCTGGGAAGAGAAATTTAAACCTGTTTCCACCCATTCCTCCTTTCCTCCATAGCTTTTTCTTTCCCTTTGTCAAGCTCCCAGACTGCATCCCCCAGTGTTCAGCCTCACAATCACTGTAGCATCCACTGCCTCGATGCTGAATTCTGGTTCTTTTCTTTCTAAAAGAACCATCTGGAGAGAGGAGGTGGGACTGCATGGCCTCCAAGGACGCCCTCCCCTCGGCAGTGCAGCTGAGTGCAGTGAACCGCAGGGCGCTAAGCAAGAAGGCATCTCGAGGGCCAGGACGCTACACACAAGTGGCAGAGGTAAAGCGGGAGAGGTGCTGAAGGCCTCATGGACCCTACAAACAGCTGAGCAGTTAGGTCCTCCCTGACCCAACCAAGGCACAGAAGATCACAGGGGTTCAAGAGCACAAGATGACTGTCACAATGCAAACAGCCCACATCCTCCTCTGCCAGAGAATTTCTCATTCTCCAGGTTCCATTTCAGCATCACGGTTCTCGTAAAAGCCATGAGTCTCAGTATTTTGTCTTTCTCTGAAATTAAAAACCCTTTCAGTCTGTATCAGACTGAAATTAACATTTAATTATATAGTCCTTTGGGAGGGTTTTTTGGTGTGTGTGGTACTGGGGATTGAACCCAGGGTCTCAAGCTTGCTAAGAAAGTGTTCTACCACTTGAGCCACACCCTCAGCCACTTCTGCAGCTTAATCATTAGTGTCAGTTTTTAAAAAGGGCATACCCAGTGCTCAGCAGAATACTCACGGGGGACATCTGTCCATTTTATTCACTGATCATCTCATCCAACAAATACGTGCTAAGTACCTACTGTGTAACATGCACTGTGGGACAACGGAGAACAAGATGGATGTTTGCCAGGTGTGGTGGAGCACGCCTGTAATGTCAGCATTCAGGAGGCTGAGGCAGGAGGATCATGATTTCAAGGCCAGCCTGATCTAGACAGTCAGACCCTTTTGTCAAAAAACAAAGTACATGTTTCCTTGCTATGACGGAGCTTACAGACTTCTGAAGGAGTAGAATTAAATAAAGTTACTAGACAGCATGGCAAGGAAAGACTGCTTTGCAAGGGAAAGGTTTCCCAAAGGAAGAGTATTATTCCAGCCAAGACCCGCATGAAAACCAAAAAGGAGTGAGCCAAAGCATGGGGATTAGAGAAAAGGTTCTTCCCCAGCAGACACAGGGGACCAATACACATCACAACAGAAAGAGGCGGGCTAAAGCACCCCATGTAAAAAGCAGGGAGGGAATGGTCAGAGGTGAAATTGTTACAACAAGTAAAGGAACAGAACAAATAACCTAGAAGGAAGAGAAAAGGGTTTTAAGGAAAGTGGTATTGTCAGATTTGAATTTTAGAAGTGTCACTGTGGCTATGTGAGGAAAATGAAAGGGGGGCAGCAGCTATAATGAACCAGATAACAGTGATGAGAGATGATGAAGGTGTGCACCGAGTGAGTGGACAGTGAAGACACAGATGCAGATACTCAGATATGAAGAGTGGAAACAGTGGGGGCAAGAATGACTCTAAGATTTCTGCTTTGGGTGATGAGTGATGGCACCCAGAAACATGGAGAATCACAAGAGAAACAGGCTGAGACAGGGGTTGGAGATAATGAGTCCATTTGACATGATCAGTTTACCTTGCACAACTACTTTAGATGTGCCTTAAAACTACACTGTAAATCCGGAAGTGCCAAGGAAGTCAGCGTATCATGTCGCTATGTACAACTACCCAAGATAAACTTTGATAGCAAAATTGGAGAAAGTGGCACAAAACTTTAATAAGAAAATGTATATTGTTTCTCGCTAGTTTTTTTATTTTTTGTATATTTAATGAAGTGATTGTGTGTGTGTGTGTGTGTGTGTGTGTGTGTGTGTACACACTGGGGTTTGAGCTCAGAGCCTTACACCCTTGCTAGGCAGGTAGTCCACCACCTGAGCCACTCCACCAGCCCTTTTTTGTGAGGGTTTTTTTTCGAGATAGGGTCTCACAAACTATTTACTGGGGCTGGCCTTTAACTGCAATCCTCCTAGTATCTGCCTTCTGAGTAGCTAGGATTACTGGCATGAGCCATAGGCACCTGTCATGAAGTGACTTTTTTTTATTTTCATGAATATGTGTAACCTAAATCAATGATATCTCAGAATCAAGAAAATTCAATAATTAAATATATGTCCATTACCCACTACTATTTATAAAGCAATATGGAACTATTTAGGCTAAAGAATAAAAACCTATCATCCAAAAGGCTAACATTAGGTTCTTTTTTATTGTACTGGTAAGGATTGAATCCAGGCCTTGCTCACATTAGGTAAGCGCTCTGCCACTGAGTCACATCCCCAGCCTGGAACCATTGATATGAGAACCCTTTCCTAAATGGTCAGTCCATCCAGCAGTGGCACAAGCCGTCTCAGGACACCACTGTCTTCCAGCTCCAGACATGTTAAGTAGAAGCTCACTGACTGACTGATGAGCCACTAATAGCAGCGTTAACAATTACTGGGTGCTTACTCTTGCCAGGTACTGTGTCAACACTTTGTATTATTTCAACAGCTAGTTCACAATACTCCTAGCAAGTAGGAACTACTTTTACCACATGACAGATGGTTAAAAAAAAAAAATCTACAAATGTAGAATGAATGCATACATTGGTTAAAAGGTTAAAATACCTCCTAAGGAATCTCCAATTCTAGGCTATCTGGTTATGATACTGAAACATGAAACTAACAATATCACTTGACTAATGCATTAGAGGAGCAAGCAATGGCATTTTATGCTTATGAAAATATAAGGCAGATCTACCAAAGAACCCCGCTCATATAAAATGAACATTAAAGATCACTCTAAGGAAAATAATGAGAAAAAGTATTAGGAAGAAAAATTTAGGTCAAGGCAGCTCTACACTATTCTCTTTAAGTTCTCATCCCATCATCAATTACAAGCTGTGCTCAATTTCTTCATCTCCAAATTGAGGACAACAATACATGTTGGCTAACATCACTGGAAGTTAAATGAGAAGTGACAGTACCTGACACATGGCAAACATCAGTATCAGCTATTATGATCATCACTTTTACACACCTGCTGAAAAACATCTTCTTTGGGATCGCGTTTGGTCCCTGAGTGAACGGTATTCACATGGGCCCCCTCACTATCACTGGTGACAGATGACCGGCACTCGGGGCCATGTAGCAGGTCATCCCATAACATATCCTCTGTCTCGGAGTCATGGCGGGTGCTTTCTGAATCTCTTCTTGACAAGTTAAGGCTTCGAGAGCCACCACTCACACCAGATCTAGAACCCTTTACAGGAAAAAATACATACATTTTTTTCATATCTCTAAAAACAGCTTTATGTGAAATAAAATTGAAACAAGTTATTGATGGCCAGGCTAGTCAGCTTTTATACATTGATCACTATGTTCTCATTTGTTCTCAAGACTTCAAATAATAACACATTTCAATATTCAAATGTTAAACCCTGACGCCGCTAGCAAGCAGGACTTTAAAAGCACTCTCTCTAAGAAGTCATTCCCAAGTCATGGGATTGTTCAGCTCAGGTGTCTGGGATGGGAGTGACTCCTAGAAGTTCACATAGAGGACCTGCCCAGCATTGGACACCTGGAGTGTCCTCTCCTCTCCATGCTGGGAGCTTGACTGGAGAGCTGCTTGTGTCCAGGACCAGGCCCATTATGCTATAGAATAACCAGGGACGGAAGAGCACAGTCAGGGCAGTGTGGCTGCAGTACAAACCTAAGGATCAAAGCTTCTCCACGACCCCAACTGCCTTATCAATGGAACAAAACACAAGTCGCACCCCATCCGCTGGCTCGCCTCTGAATGGGCACAGTCATATATGCCCATATTTGGCATATATATATAGAAACTCACAATGGGAGTTTCTACTGCTCCTGTCTTTCAGAGATCCCTCCTCAGAAGTCTCTTCAGCAGTGCCAACCCCACTTATGATAAAACTCTGTTTCCAAGTGAGTATTAAGTAACCTACATTTAGGGATTGACTAACCTCTTTGTAAACGTCATCTATGACACTTTCGAATGAAAAAGAGTTCATTCTCTTTTTAGTGGGGTGAGTAGTCATCTAAAAGCTGCTAGATAAATAAATAGAAAGGAAAGGTAGGCAAATACACACACTACCTTAGGGCAACCAAGAAAAAAGGAATGCGTAAAGTACTCAAGAATACACATGGAACAATGGTCTCACAAAAGAATGCTTTACCTGGCTGAAGGCTGCAGATTCAAATTCTGATTCAGCCAGACTATCTGAATCCCGTACTATATGAGACCACCGCGTAGCAGGTTTCTTTACCTGCCAAAAATCAAATCAACAAATAACAAGAAAATATGGTAACTACCTTGTTACTATTCCTTAGTTTAGGAATTAACTCCTGTATTTTTAAAGGCTAAAATAAAAGTTACCTGAGAGTTTAGGTGCCTTGAAAGAATAGATTTTCTATTCTTAACTTCACAACCATTGTCACTTGAAGCCCCTTCCACACTCCTACGTAACAGTATCATCTGTGTCCGAGCTTCACCATCCTCCTCACTGGAGAGATCATCGGAAACCCCATTACCCGACCGTCTGTATGGCTCCTGTAAGACCAGCAATGCCATCCCAAGGGGTCAGCCCAAAGCACGCAAGTAAGTTAGTCACACAGGTAAAAGCAGTCATGAAAACTACGAAGCAATAAAAATGACCCAACCAAAACTGAACAAATCTACATATTACTTGATCTCGATATGAAGAAAGATTTCAAAATTAAGAAAAATACAAACCTAAGTGATGACACAGTTTAAGCCATAGTTAAAACACAGGCTCAACTCAAACTCTAGGCCTGATCACAGTTCTACTTGCTAGCTATGCAACTTGGACAAGTTACTAAATCCCTCTGGGACTCAGTTTCCTTATCTGAAAGCAAATGATACTAAAATCACCTGTCTCATAGGATTGTTGAGAACAAGGAAGTAAATTTGTAGAAGTGAAGTACACAGAACATTACCATAGTAGTGACTCAATAAATATTAGACTAAATGTCACAGTCTAACAAATAAGAAAACATTTCAAGACTATAAGCAAAAAATATATGGTTAGTTTTAGACACAGCGCAGATCACCTCCAATTAAACCTAGAAAATAATTTCCCCAGCCTTCCATATGATCACTGGCTCTCTGGAATACGACAGTGCCCCTTGCAGCAATCAGCTCATTCAATCTATCACCCACTGTGAGGGCTGGTTCAGTAGCAAAATTAATGTACGTTCTTGTCCTAGAAATGTAAAAATAGGTCCCAGGCTCCTTGTGATATTTTCTTCTCCATGACCCATGATTTACTATCTATTTTGTATCTCTAGCAGAGTCTAAGAATAGGAAAATTTTACAGGCAACAACAAAAAAAAAGATTTTGTTAAAAAAAAAAAAAAAAGATTATTAGACCATCTGAATCTTACCCTGTGGCACTTTTCTCCATCCGAAACTTTTGCTTTCTCTCTTGTTTGGCACATCCTGACCTCTGGCCGACCTTGTCTCTTCTTAATAATCGGAAGGAGACTATTGGTGTCCTTGTCAGTTTCAGTCCCTTTGTTAGACACTAACTTTACCTTTTTAATCCTATTTTTAAAAAAGGGAAAAAAGTTTACTAACTACTTTTCTCAGAGTAACATCTTCCATGAGATCACTTTTTGCTGAGGAGTACGATACATTATGCTGGAAATTCAGAAATTCTATTTTCCAAGCCTCTAGTTTGCTGAGAGTCTAGGACAGACTATTTACTCAGAAACTCAAGAATATGAATCTATTCCTGTCAATTAATTGAGAGGCATGGATATTTTAGTTTTACAAAGAAGTCAGTTCAGTGTCCTCTCTATCACAGTGCCACTTTACAGAATACCTGCCTCTCCTCTGTCCCTCTTCATAAATACTACCCTTGCTTCACAGTTCCTGCTGACTATGGACCCCAGAGAGATCACTCACTCTCCTGCTGAGCCATGTGGGAGGGAGTCATGTGCTAAGCCACATGTCAGCTCACAACCATCAATAATACTTCTGCTTTGCTGTGGCTGTACGGTATCTGCTACTCTCCCTCTGACTAGAGAACAAGGATGCAGGTGCCAGCACAGCCCTGACTCAAAGCTCTAACACTCCAAATAAGGAGGATAAATACATCTTTAAAGCAGTGTGTGAACACACTCCATCTCTGAAAAAGTAACTGCAAAAGAACTTTATTTTTAAGTCACCATCATTAACATGGGGAAGTAACCACTCCTTTGAATCCTTTGACTGTTACTGTCATGATCCATGTGCCTTTCTGTCCTCCAGCCCATCAACACCAGGCTCTGTGTCACACCCGTTTCTAAAAAGGCACCAGCTTTCCCACCAGAATACACCTGTGATCTTTTAAAAATTCTTTCTCTCAAATGTTGGCTGATACAGCTGAAAATATCCTTTCGGGGTATTTATGCTTTTGTACTCTTATGGTGCAAAAACCATTAAAATCACACAGAATGAACCTTCAAGGTAGATGACTGGGCTTCTGTGTAATGTGAAACACAGCAGAGATAGCATTTTGAGTAAGCACATCCTTCCAGAACCCTTAAAAACAACAGAGTAATGATAACATGCTTCAGCGACTTACTCCTAGGGCCTGATTATATTATACACCTTGTGAACACTAATGCGAATACACCACCAAGTAAAGTTCCAATGTAAGACACCCACCTGTTGCCAAAGAGAGTGCCCCAAAAACTACCAATATTGGGGGCAGGTTCCAAAGTTTCTACTCCTCTGACTTTATCAGAGGAATTATTTCCATTTTCTCGGCTCCCATCGCCATTCACAGTTTTTCGTAATTTTCTACCAAAAAAAAAATAAAATAAATCAATAATTTCAGATTATTCAAGACCTTTTCTATATCTGCCTGTAATATCCCTATAGGAAATTATACTAACAGATTATTCCCTGAAATCAAGAGTGGCTAACTTCATATACTGAGGATAAATTATATATGAGCACAGCTGATTTAAGACAACACAAGTACAGCAAACTGCTATACTATCATTTTGTTCAGTCAAGAACAAAGGAATAGCACTGTTACCCAGAAACAGTACTGGAAAAAGAGCTTCACTTCTATGACCATGAGTCTTTTCAGGCACACTCAACACCACTAGCAGGAAGAGCTACATTTCTTTGAATATGGACATTAGACATCTACTCCTCGGCAACTCAGAGTAATTATACCTGCTCGTTCTTATTGTATTCTGTATCTGCCAATGATACAGCCTATGAATCCCAAAGACACACAGCACTACTTGATTTCCTTAGAAAATATCAAAACAATTTAACTGAATTTACAAGGCATATTCTTCCTGAAAAACATAAGTTCTGAAAATAACATTCAAAAATAAGAATGTTGAGACCAGGCACGGGTAGCTCACACCTGTAATCCTAGGTACTCAGGAGGCAAAGATCAGGAGGATGGGGGTTCAAAGCCAATTTCAGGTAAATAGTTCTGAAGACCCCATCTCAAAAAAAAAAAAAAAATCACAAAAATGTGCTGGCAGAGTGTCTCAAGTGGTAGAGTACCTGCCTGGCAAGCATGAGGCCGAGTTCAAATCACAAATATATATATATATATATATATATATATATACACACACACACACATATACATACATACACTGAACCTAGGGCTTCATGCATGCGAGGCAAACACTCTACCACTGACCTATACCCCCAGGCTGAGAATGCTTTTTCAAAACCATTATTTAAAATAAATTTTAACAAAAATATAGTACAAAAATTTACCATTTAAATAACTGCACTGAATGACAAATACCACCCAAGACTGCAAGTTAATCAGGTTCCTTAGCATTAAGAGAAAAGTAAAAAGTATTTACTTTTAATTCAAGTAAAATATACATAAAAGAGGAATATTTTTAAACACTTTCATCAAAGATTTTATAAATCTCTCTACTACATCTCCGAGAAAACCCACACTTAGTCAAACTTCTCCTACCTTCTCCTCCGGTTCCCGTTGTTTCCCAATGGCCTTGTTATCTGAGTGGACACGATCTGACAGTGGACAGTTCCCATGAGTAGCATAAGGCACAAGGGTCCAAGAACTTCACTTATGTTCACAATGGGCATCATAAGATACAACACAAGTGCTATGACTGCGAAGAAAAGGATTTAAGATGTAAAGCATTGCAGTTCTCCTTTAAAATTCATTCTAGTCACTACATGAATAGTTTGTATAAGCTCTAAAATCAAAGTAATTTCCTAGAATAGCATCCACTTGCACACTAACTGAGTGAAAACTGAAGCCACAGATTGCCAAGTAAATAAGAACTAGCAGATTAAAAGTACTTACCTTTCTGGTAGTGTAATAATTTAAGTATTCCAAGAAGGCTTCCCCACAAAGTAACTAGATCTGCATTTTGGAAGTATTGTTCTGCTAAAGGAAGAGCAATTTCCAAGGCCCAAGGTTACACAGAAAGCATCTAGCAGCAACTCTGGAATCTGAACACAGACATTCAGCCTCCAGAGTCCCCCCCTCTTAAGTACCATGTCAGACTGTCTTTTTGCATACGTGTGTGAAATGTCCAAAGAAATAAATGATGAAAACAGACAGCATAATATGAAAAATCATCTCCAAAACTATGAAAAATCATCTCTAAAACTTTCCACTTTACAATTTAAAGATGAATTCTTTCAGACTTTAAGGTAATGATAATTCTTGTTCTATATAAACTGTTTCCGTGTGGGGAGAGAAAAAGAGCTAGTGTTAACTCAACATATCAAGATCCTCCTTGATAGTGAATTTTCAGCAACTTTTGCTCAAGGCTGAATTCCATGGAAAATGGACACCATGATGTAACAATGACAATATCACTTGAGCTGCAGACCTTGCTGACGTGTACATACACATAAATTCACCACTGAAAAGCAAGCATGGAGACAGGAAGTTTGTCTATTTTGTTCACTGATGCACCCAGATCAGTTTCTGGCACATGGGAGGCACACAGTGCTTGATGAATGACTGGAGCACAGTATTATCAAAGTGAACTAGACAATATGCAAAAGAATTCACCAACACTATGAAAGCTTATAGTAGAAATGCAAGGATAGTTTACGAGCAGGAAATCTACCCAAACCACAGCAGGTGATTAGGCTCTGCCCTTCTGAGTGAGGCTAGAACCCTTAGAGAAGAGACTGCGGCGGTCTCCCTTGCCTCTTTGGCCGCAGGAAGACGTGTCAAGAAGGCTGCCATCTTTAAATGCAGGTCTGGTGCATTACCTTGAACCCCCCAGTCCCCAGAATTGCGAGGAATAAATTTCTGTTATTTCTAAGTCTCGCAGTCCATGGCACTTTTGTTAATGGAGTAAGAAAGAGGGTACTAAAGATGAGGGTGCTGTAACAAACACCTAAAAATGTGTAAGCAGTCTTAGAACTGGTAATGAATGGGTAGGGGCTGGAAGAGATTTGAGGAGCAAGCTATAAAGCCTGGATTTCACAGGCAGATTTGTAAAGGAGCTGTGGTAGGGTCAGAGGGAAGAGAGAGCGCTGTAGGGAAAGCCTCGATCTTCTGGAAGAATTCCTGAGTAACCAGGAATGTTGGTAGAAACACAGGTCAAAGTCACCCTGGTGAGGGCTCAGACTGAAATGAGAAATAACATGCTATTGGAAATTGGGGGAAGGTGGCCCTCACTGGAGTAGCAACTTTATTCAGCTGTAATCATGCTCTCTCTAGTATTTTGTGGAAGGCAGAATTTCCCAGTGCTTTGTCCTTGGGCTTCCCACCTTCAACATAATCAGCAATAAACCTATGTGGTTTATAAGCTTCCCAGTCTGTGGTATTTTGTTACTGGGACAATTATGTAAATCATGGTATTCTTGTATAATAAAATATTAAGCAGCTACAAAAAGGTGTTTGTGGTAAATCCACGTGGCAGTAAATGAGGGTATATTCATTTGATAGATTACTACATAGTCATTAAAATGACAGCTATGAAGACAATTAAAACCAAATGCAATAAATCCAGTTCCTTACCAACACTACTGTAAGTATACCTGTGGCTAGGCAGCTGCTGTTTTGAGCAGCAGGGTCACTCCCATCATCATAGAAATCCTACTGCAAGGTCTCACATCTTTTAAAAAATTAAACCTATAGATTTGCAACTCAAGCATTTATTTTTTATTCAATAACTTAAAAAAATTTTAACTGACAAATAAAAAACAAAATTTCCCATAATTCCTTCACTTTAACCCAGCCTTCTCTTTGTTCTAGCTCATGACTTTGAGCAGGGGTAACCACAGTGTATACAACCCACTTTCTACAAGTTTCCCTGGCAGGTGACAGGAAAGAGAAAATGCTGGGTTCCCACATGCGGTGAGAAGAGAAAAACACCAATGGATGCCAAAATAAAGACCTACTCATGTGACAGTGACTGGAGAGTGGCAGGAATGCACAGACAGGGATGGCCTCTCTATGAAAGTTACATTTGAGCTGGGATCTAAAGATGATTAAAAAAAAAAAAAAAAAAAAAGGCCAGCTACCTGGAAAGCCTTAAAATGATTCAAACGGAAACAAAAGTTCTGTGTGAGGAACAGAAAGCAAGCGTTGCCCTAGATGAGCAAGTGGGAGGTGGAGGAAGAGGCTAAGGAATGACGGCTGGCAGGGGAGAGGAACAAAGCATGTGAACATCCAGGGCCATGGTAAGAACTCAGTACTTTTATTCTAAGGCCAATAGGAAGTCAGTACAGGGTTTCAAGAAGGAAATGTTAGGGTTCCCACTTTAAAAGATTTCTCTAATTGCTATCAGAAGAATGGGGGTAGAGACAAGGCTCAGAGCAGATGTTACTGCAGCGGCCATGGCAGAGAGGCCAGTGCTGTGGACTGTGGTAAAGGTGGCAGAGACCAAGCTCAGCAGTCGAGGCAGGCTATGGAGGCAGAGCTTCCAGGCTTGGGGGCAGAGTGGATGTGAGAGCAGATGCAGCACAGAGTAGGAACACATCATTTTTTGCCTGAAAATAGGGAAGTGGATGGTATAATTTAATGAAATGGAGGAGACTTAACGAGGAACAAGTGTGCACCCAAAAACATCAAGATATAATTTTTGATATAATTAAGATCAAGATACCTATTAATCTCCCAATGGAAATGTCAAGCAGGCAGATTTACAAGCCTGAAGTTCAGCAGAGGAACCTGGCCTGAAGACACAAATACAGAAGCTAGCAGCACATCAATCATACTTAAAGGATTGGCACTTGCTAAAAGTACCTAGAGAACAGAAGAGAACATAGAATCCATTCTTGAGCAAGGAATCCACTACCCAAAGGTCAGGCAGAAGGAAAGACTGAGAACCTGGCCAGTGAGACAGATGGACAGAAATCCAGAGAGGAGCAAGATGGATGGTCACATTTGCTCTCTCAGAATAAGTAATTTTGGATGTAAGGGAGATCTGGCTGAGACATCTGTCACCCCATTGATCACCAGTGTTGATTCAGCTGATCTGGCTGGCTAGGTGGGTGTCCCCTTCTTCCCTCACTGTGCTCCATGTGCGTCCCTCCCAAAGCTGCGTGCTCGGTTGAAGAGGACGACCATTCCCAATAGAGGAGGACCCTTCTTTGGTCAAGGGTATACGAATAGCTTCGCTCCCCTGCTAGAACCTCCAAACAAGCTCTCAGAGTAATAATTTTAAGATCATCCCCAAATGGTACATGTCCCTTCATTTCTTTGTACTTTAAGCCACTAATTGAAAAAGTAAAGATAAGAATAGTAAGTCTTCATTATTTAAAAGCAAAAAGAAACATCACAGTTTATTCCAACTTCCAATTACCTTGCATGAGGTAAAGCAGTAGCAGCCAAACAAAGATTCGTAGAGAGGTAACCTGGATCCACCAATTACTGAACAGTGGAAAGAAGACAACTCGAACAAGCCCCTTCCGGGTCAGAGACGTCCATGGAATCTCAGGCTTGGCTTTGGCGAACGTTGAGCCTTTCAGCACCAACAAAGCAAAACAAGAAGCACTTACTCACGTTATACTGACAGGCAGTGTAGCACTGCGTGGAAAACAGGCAGGGAACAATAATCAGCAAGACCTTACTCGGCAGGGCCGCTTAGCTGGCCTGGCCTCAGTCATAGGGCGGGCCAGGCCCCTCTGTACGCTCAACAATACGTTTTTCTTAGTGACACAACAAAAAGTTTCCAAGTTCTACACTGTATCATGTAAGCAGTACAAGCACACAGCACTAAGGCCAAGGGGAAATATACTGAAGTCTGAATGATGAGAGGAGGATGTCACATTTGGAAATTAAAGTACACCTGCACCTGGGGAAAGACCTAAAAATAATCTACTATAGCACTACTGCGAAATCACTGTGTGCCTAAGAAACAAACTGATTTTAACACTCACCTCTGATTAAGTCAACATCAATCAAATCTGGCTTTATGTGACCCATCTTTTTTGGTTTGTTTTTGAAGCCCTAGAATAAAACAAAACAAGAACAGAAACAAAGAAAAAGAAGTTCTTTTAAATACAAAACATAAACTTGTATTTTTTTTTTCCCCTTTGAGACAGGATCCCATAATGTAGCCCAAGCTAGCCTGAAACTCAATATCCTCCTGCTTTAGCCTCCCAAGTGCTGGGATTATAGGTATGTACCACCACACCTGGCCTAAATTTATGTTCTTTTCTCAGTATGTGACTCCCTTTTACTAGGGGCATTTTTATGCTAATACTCCTTAAAAGAACTTGTCATTATTTTGCTTTGTTTGATTTTAGTCTTCCCAGTAAATACAAACACTTTATCACTTTTGAAATAACTCAAAGCCAAAACAGTAAGTGAAACAGCCCCATGAGTGACCTCCTCCTCCCAATTTCACTCCTCAGAAGTAAATAACTTTCCTCTTTTTAACTGTTTTCTTTTTTTCTTCCATACTTCTAAAAATTTGCTACTTTACTGATTTTAGAAATTATCTACTGACTCCTATAGTATCTGAGAATATAGTTCTTCCACCATTAATCCTCAAAATATAAAAAAATTTTGGTAAATCAAGCGCAAAGCCCTGAGTTCAAACCCCAGGAATGCCAAAAGAAAGTCTGAAAAATTTTTGGTAGATCAGTCAGGTGCCAGTGGCTTATGTCTGTAATTCAAGGTACTCAGGAGGCAGAGATCAGAAGTACAGTTTGAAGCAGCCCTGAAACCAGCCCAGGGCAAATAGTTCACAAGACTCTATCTCCAAAACACCCAACACAAAAGGGTTGGGAGAGTGACTCAAGTGGTAGAGCACCTGCCTAGCAAGCATGAGGCCCTGAGTTCAAACCCCCCAAACTGCCAAAATACAAATTTTGGCGAATCAGCAATCGTTAAGTAAGCTATGATCACTGTAGTATGTCTTAAGAGCTGTATTTTAAATTCTTCCATTTACTCAGAAATCAGTCAAAATACCATTTTCCCAAATTTGAAAAATTGCTAGAAAATTACCCAAATTTGAATAAGTACTAGAATCTCCTTTCCCAAACTCCTGGAGTCCATCTGGGAGCGCCCTGTCTCCCTGGAGGCTGTGGGCTGGTGGCTCTGTGGCAGCTGCAGGGTGCACTCCTGGTCTTCTCTCTACCCACCCCTCTCTGGGGTGAAGCCCTTTCTCCTGTCCACCCCGTGTCCTCTTGGAGCACACCCTTAAGCGGCTTGCAGAGAAGTCACAGAAGGTAAGTTTTTGAGTCCTGGCATGTCCGAATTGAGTTTTACCCTCATACCTGACTGGGAGTTAACAGTAGGTGTAGAAATCTCGGTTGTAAATCATTTTCCCTCAGGAATGAAGATACTGATCAACATATTTCCTCAATGTCTAGAGTAGTAACTTACTGTAACCTTTAGTTTTTATATTAATTTTGATGGTTAAATTTCTAATTTTAGAAACTTGATTAAAAATTACCACGTACAAGTACTGGTTGAATGTGAAATTAAGATTCATCTTTAAATGTTTAATTTATTAATAATAGTAAAACACTGAGGAAATATGTTGATCTTTAGCTCTATTTAAATAGATATAGTCAAACAATTTCAAGTGATTCCTATGTTTCTAGTCAACTCAACTATAAGCTGCAGATTTTACAATACCCTAAGACACTAAATGATAAATTATAACCATTACAATAAAAATTAAGTCTTAACAAGTCAAATTTTAAAAATAAGGTAGTTTAAGGAAAAAAAATGACACTTTGAAGAAATGTACACTAATTTTTGATATATGCATACTTTTCATGAAAATAACAATTATACTACATTTAAAATAAGAAACTAAAGTTTAAAAAGTAAGCACATTATATGTTTATGAAAATAGCATAATGATATTCACTATAAACTATTAAAAAGAGGGGGAAGAAGTAGGGATAAGAGACAGGGCAAATGTGATAAGCTACACCAATATGCTTTATGTAAACTGTCACAGTGACCCCTCTAACTCATGCTGATAAAAGGTTTTAAATAGTAAAGAGTAAGAATGTTACTCTGTGTGTTTGGACAGACACAGGCTAGGCTTTGCAGACATTTGCTTTAGCATGATCCCACTCAAGGAGCCTGAAGTGCCTTTGCTTTAGAATCAAAATGACTTTTCTATTTTCCTTGCTTTCTATGTTTCTCACCTATGCTACAAAATTAGGATTAGCCTTAGCAAGAATTAATTATGCAAACCTCCTTCACTACCAGAGATGTGTTAATTTGTTCACTCAGTCAACAATACCCAACATGCATCTTCCATGTGCCAGATACTCTACTGGAGCTACAGGTGAAGTAATACAGAAGTCAAAATATAGCTCTCTCAAAGAATGTACCATATTGAAGGGAAGACAAACAATAAAGCCAAATGCACAAGGGTTTCTCGGAAAAAGGTCCCTTGGTCCTCCCCTGTCACTGTTCTTTGCTGAAAGGACAGAAGTCATTAATAAATGCATGAGCACTGCTCTAATGGAGACAAGAAAGGTTACCAGACACATTTATAGATGCTGCACTGAGGGGAAAGAAGAAACACATGCCATCTTTTTGTTTGCGCCTTTCTGTCACATCCTACACGTTGTGCAGCAGACATTAGATGACAGGCACTGACGGGGGCACTATTCAAGCACTTGCATTAACTTGTTTGACCCCTTCAGTGCTCACAGTGTCCCAAGATTCATACCTAAGAGATTCCAACCCAGTCACTCCCACCCCAAAGCATATGCTCCTCACCACCGCACTACCTGCCTCTCAATACATGGAAACAACTGCGTCCTCACCAGTGCAGAAGAGGTTTTGTTTGACACTGCTTGAAAGGTTTAGAGGGACTAAACCCTAGCAGGCAAAGGCTGCAGGAAGCAGGCCAGTCTTCATTAGCTGCCGCACTGGCTGCCCAGCAGCCTCTGCAGAGGCAAGATGTGTGCTGTCTCAGCCTGCCCACCACCTATCACTCCATAACCGCCATACCATCAGGAGCACCAAACGAAGTTCTGACCTCTTACAGGAGGGACAAAACCACTGCAGACATCGACACGGTACCGCTGGACTTTGAATTTAACAGGGAATGAACAAAACAACTGAAACCCTGTAACACCTATTTCCTACAATACTGAATTTTTCATTTCATTGCTACTAAAAGAACTGAACTTCTACAGAATTTGGCACAAAAGAAAGTCACCCCCAACTTAGGGCACACTACTATTTGAGTATCAAATGTCCTCCGTGGGCTCATGTGTTGAACACTTGTTCCTCAGCTGGTGGTGCCGTTTTAGGAGGCTCTGGAAAGCTTAGGAGGTGGGGCCTAGCTGCCGGAAGTAGGCCATGGGGGCCTGGGAAGGATATACCTGGTCCCCAGTCCCTTCCTCGTCTCTCTGTGAAGCCAACAACCTCTTCCTCTACATAAGCCTGCTGCCATGACACTCTGCCTCACTGTAGCCCAGAAACACAGAGCCAGGTGACCTTGGACTGAAAAAAGGAATAAACCATTCCTTTTTAAGTTGTTTTCTCAGGCATTTTGTCACAGTGATGATAAAAGTAAATAGCACAGGGCATCTGATGAATGGTTACAAGACAAGTACAGTCCTGTGAGAACATGTGTAAAGGGAATCCAACTCGTACTTTAGATGAGAAAGAAAGATTTCCAAAGAAAAATACTGCATCTGAGACCTGAATGATATATGAGAATTTGCATCACACCTGAAATCCCAGCTTCTTGGGAGGAGAAAAAAATGGGAATAGGGGAAATGTGGTTCAAAACCAGCTGGGACAAAGTTAGTGAGACCCTATCTCAAAGAACAAGCAGAGCATGGTGCTAGGCATATGTTGTTGGTAGTGTCTTTTGTTCTGATTTTTGTTGTTGCTTTAGTTATTTTTCAGATAGGGTATCCCATTTTCTTTCCTGGAGCTAGTCTCAGATTGTGATTCTCCTAATGCACCTCTCATGTAGCTGGAATGGCAGGCATGTGCCACCATGCCTGGCTTGTTGGTTATCACAGGGTCTCACTAACTTTGTGCCTGGGCTGGCCTCAAACTGAAATCCTCCCAATCTCCATCTCTCAAGTAGCTAAGATTACTGTCACATGCCACCACAGCCAGCCCACTCATGCCCATACTCACACGGTCACCTTTAATGAGGCTCATCTGCTATGTACACCACCCAGCTTATGAAATAAAGCATCATAAATGCAGCTGAGCACCTCCAAAATGTTCCTTTGTGCCTATTAGTCCATTTTTTCCTCAGTATAGTTAAATGCCCAAGTCTTTATAAAGAAAACATGTTTATTTTGGCCCACAATTCCAAAGGTGGGATGGCCTGCTTGATAGCAGTCTCAAGGCAGCATAGGGCATGACACAGAAAGAGACATGTACCCCATGGTCTCTCCCCATTCTTATAAAGTCACTGGGATTCAACTGTAGCAGTTGCACCCTTACAGCACTCAATCTAGTCCTAATCACCTCCCGAAGGCCTGACCTCTGAACATCACAGTTAGGTTCCATTTCTACTCTCTAAATACCTTACAAAGGGAGTTAAGTTTCAACACCTGCCACCTGGGGGGTACTCAGACCATGCAGCCTGTTTACAGTAAATGTTGCCATTTGTCACCGGCAGGCAACTGCTGATCTGTTTTCTGTCTTTATACAGCTGTAAGATCCATGTGAACAGAATCACACCATATGCCATCTTGTGTATCCAGGTCCTTTCACTAGGCATAATATTTTTGAGGTTCACTCATACTCTAGCAACATGTACTAACAGTTTTTATTGCTGAAACATATTCCATTGTATGACTATAACACATTTATTTATGCATTGTCCAGCTGATTGATGTTTGCATTTTACTTCTCTTGGGTAGGAATGGAAATCTGGGTTGAATGAGAAGGATATTCTTAACCTTTTTTCCCCCCTCAGTGCTGGGGACTGAATGAAGGGTTTTGTGTATGCTAGGTAAGCACTCTATCACTTGAGCTACATCCCAGCCCTTTTTTTT